AGACATTATATGCACGTGCGTTTTTACGCTCTGAATGTAAAAACAGTTCTTATAGCAAACATGCACAGTTTCAAAGTTGCTCGATTCACCTCGCGACGTCACGCCTCAGTGCAGCTGCTAATATTATAACATAACATATACACTAGGCTCGGTTCGCGCCCCGGAAGAAGTCCCCGTATAGCTCGAGAGCAATGCCATAATATCGCAAGTCCGTGCATTTTCTTGGGACAATAGCGTATTACCGGCGTGGCATGCATGATGTACGAGGAAAAAAATATATACTGTCGCCTTTCGCGATAAAAGAGAGAAAAGCGAAACACGATCCTTGCTGTAAGGCTTCGAATAAAAAAATGCCTCCGTGTATATAAACGTGACATTTTCAAAAGTTTGTTGCTCGACGCGGCGATATTCGACAATACGAGGCCAGATTATGCAGGCAGCGATGCTAACACTTCACGGTAATGCTTGGCGCTACACAGCACAGGTAATATCTCACCTGCTTCTTTCTCAATTGCAATATAAACGGCGCGCGCGCCCCTTCGGAATTTGTAACGGAGAGCGCTACCTTTTCTCTCTCTCGCTAAATTCGGCCCGAGGGCGCGTCAAAAGAGAATATCCACCGATCGTGATGTAAACAAATAAAAAATGAAGCTGAACGAATTTCACGTTATATATTGTTATGGGTGCGGCAATCTCATCTAAACGTTATTATATTCGATGTACGCTAACGCCAAATATAAAAGCACGTCATCGGATTCTTCTTCTTTTTCTACGCGGCGCCTGTGTAGAGGTGAAAAGAAGACTCGAGGAAAAAACCCGATAAAATACAATAACTCGTTTAAAGAAATCGAGAGCGGCACGACGCGGATTCGATCTTACGACAAAAAAAATATTATGAACCATCATCATCGCAACAGGTCAATCGAAGATGACGCAGCAACGTCACGGAATACCGATTATAACCGATTCCCCAAATTCTGATTGCCTCAATGCGCCGCCACAGCTTCGCACACGGTATCCGCATGTCGTACGTGTTATCGTAGCGATCGCGAGCGCCGATACCGACTTCATATATACCAATCGATCAAGAGAAAGAAAAATATTTGAATCGAGAGGTGTACGATATTATTAATAACATGTGCGCCCGCGTAATTCAATGGCCTACACGAGACCTTGGCGAGGCGCGCGTTTCGTTAATACATTTTATTTCGCAATCGGCTAATGCGTCTATACTGAAAATTGCTCGCGCGCCTTGACGAATGGCAGTGTACTGTAATACGGTCGAAGCACCTATCCTTCGCGGCAAGACAGGTAGAGACAAATTATCGCGATTCTACACACTGAATTCTTTATAATGCGCGCGTTCATACATGCATGGCACATTCGACTCGGGCCGACTAATGATTATTAATGTATTAGCGCACAAAATAGACCCGCCGCGTAGAGCCGTAATATTATAGTTTTTTATTATTCGTTGGCATTATATACAGGCGACCCGTGCACTTATTGCATTAGCGCGCCTTATCTCTTACACCGAATCGTTTTCACTCGGCGTTCATTTTTTCGTCGAGGCATCGAACTCCTCGATCTATCCGCGGCTATACAACGCAATACTCGTAAATGTACACCCACCCTACTGTAATATAAATGAGGAAAAAAAATTGTTTGCTTGCAACACGCTGCACAGTTGAAGCAATACGATCGTAATTTTCACTCTTTCTCTCGGGCTCGAACGAACGAACGAACGAATATAAGAAGTGAATCTTTCTCTCTTCATTCGCACTTGCTTGCGACAAGGCGCGACTTTCGGAGACCCCAATTTTCACCACACACTCGCGCGCGCGCGCGAAACTCTCTTTTTTTTCTCTCTTTTCTCCGTCACTCGAGAGCACATATGCATGCGCTCGAGCGCGAATCGCGATCGTGTGTCGACTCGCGGCGAGTTATATTTGCATGTCGCGCGTTAGTTGCGAAAGGCGCCAACGCTGCCGCACCGTTCCTGTGTATCTAGCCTGCATAATGCATTATTTTTCGAGAGACAACGGCTTGCGGGGTGGCGAAAGGCTCTTGGCTTGTGTGTGTGCGCAGCAGCTGTATGTATTTATCGCCATTATAAGAACGACGTTTCCTGAAAGTGTCAAGCCGATATAGCCGGGGGGCGTCAATAGAGATTCCGACAGCTTACGTTTTCCGCGCGATCGCGTCAATGTGTGGCATTTAAATTAAAGTGAGCACTCGACTGATATTATATTGGAAGTGGAAGATCGTATAGGTATAAGCAAAATCCACTCGACGAGAGAAAGAGAGAGATCTCGGAGTATATATATATATGAATGAAAGATCGGCATACCTTCGATGTGAGAAGTCATCGTCGCTGTATGGCCTAACGCTCGAGGCGATCGACACACATACACAATAGGACTCTATATACACGTACCATTACTCGTGCACATACAGCCGCCCGTGCGCGTCAAGCGAGTATATAATAATGTACGTAAGCGCACGAAGGTAATAAAAGTACTGACACACACACGGGTACGTGCGTAAAATGAGCGTATACGATAAATCTCGGCAGCAGCTCGCCTAGTCGAGGAACGCACCGCGAAGATGAAATTATTTCGTCTCGCTATTACGAGCGAGTCAAAGGCAGCGAGCTATTACATTTTTCTTTTCGAGTGCGTACCTCGAGACCAGCGATTGTGTATTAACGTATCGCTTTGTCAAGAAAATAACAACAGGTAGTTGTAAGGTATTATGGAAAAGCATGCGCTTATAGCTCTCTCTCTCTCTTTCTCCCTCTGTCACACAGCTGCTCGACGAGCGCAGCAAATTATTATATATCGTCGTCGCAGAGATGACAAGTCGCGCTTGCATTACTATACATACGTCGGCGATACACAATACGTGTGAGATTATAGCTCGGAGTATCAATTCTCGCAGGCCAACGCTCGGATGAGAAATTATCGCGGGCCTTTATTTTGTTTTCCTTTTTTTTTCTTCATCGTCGTTACGTAAACAACAAATCGATTTATCAATACTTTATGTACGTGATATATAGGTACGTGCGTCGACTGCGATGTCGAGGCTCCGACGACATTGTTTCATCCCGCGAGCGCGCGCCTCGTCGTCGCGCAGGTGAAAATCCATTGTAAGCCCTGGCACACGCGCTCGACGCGCGACAAACACACACACACACGAGAGTGTGTATTACGTTATAAGTATGAGCAAAAGCTCGTTTGCGTAACGAAAGAAAAATCAAAAGTTCCAATGAAATAGCTTAAAGCCGCGCTTGTAATGTGCCATTGTGCGTTACCCTGACACAAATGCTTTACACACATAGTGACAATGTGTGTTATTATATGAGAGCACGTTTTATTCTTTTATTTTTTTGTCGATCGTTGTAGACGCGTGACCATAAGAAACTAGAAGAATCATTTTAAATCGGATTCATTAGCAACGTATAAGTACACCTCTTGGAAGCGAGAAACTATCGTTTATAAGTTGTAAAGCGCAAACGTCAGAGAAGTTTGGCGACAATATCCCGCGCATCTTCGTCTTTTTCTACTACCACTACATACTTTGTCTGCCACGCCTCGAGCCTATAGATATATGTTGGTACGAATCATACCACACATGCGTCTTTATTATACACACGTATCGGCCAGAGCTCGTCTCTCTTTCTCACATACACTGTTAGAATCGGCCTTGGAATTCGCAGTTCAGAAATAATGTGTCTGCCGTGCCGACTGTGCGTGTGCATGTGTGTGCGTATACATACGTGCCCCCTCTCGGTTCTCGGTCAGTCTTTCTCTCTCTGAACGTCTTTTGTTGTTCTTACACATATCGCCAAAGGGGAAAGAAGTTACACACTCGTATACATGCTTCGACTGGACTCCTTAGTCTCCACCGCTCCGATATTACTCCCTTTGGCAGTTCTGTCTTATATGTACAGTACAAGCTTGACAGGGCATCGGTGGAATAATTGCGCTGCTCGTGTTTCGAACGCAAGGACTACTTGTACATTAATTTGTACATGCTATACGTAAAAAGAATCGTGCAATAATACAGTCGTCGCTTTTGAACGCAGTGACCGGCGAATGTGCGGGAACACGGGCAAAACAAAAAATAAAACACAACACACTGCCGCCAGATGAACCGTGACAAGAACGTCACGTGTATATATCTCATATATATATCGAGCGCTCAGTCAGCCACTGCTACATGTGTAACATACATGTATTGATTGAATAAACCGATAAACGCATGTGTGTTTCGACGTACGCAAGCAGTACCAGCAGCAGCAGAACACAGTTTTACACACACGCACGAAACACGCGCACACACAGAGACGCGCTAATATGTATATAATACGTGCGTGCGCTATTATCCGTAATCATACAGAGAGACCTTGAAAAAGTCTATATACTTATCGCGTGTATATCATGCGTATTCACATATGCACGCACACACACACACACACACACACACACACACACACACGTACAAGTGGGATCGCAAGTATAGAAAAACGCCAGCAGTTTGCACACATATGCGTACAAGCTGTATCGCATGCGGAGTCTTATAGGCGCGAAACGTTGCAATCCCTTATTTTCGAAAAGAGAAAAAAAACAAAAAAGCACTCGAGGTGGCCGTTCGAGTTAAAGTAACCTTCGCGCCTCTGGAATGTCTTATGTGTTGCTGCTGCTATATACCGTGTGTCCGTGCACTTTCGAATGGTGTGTATGTATGTATGTATATGTCACATCGGAATATAGACGATCGTGCGTGTAAACGTATGTGTTTGAGAGTGGGCGAACCGAGAATCGATTTCGTCTTTCCTTTTTTCTCTTTTTTTTTTTGCTCTGCCACGAGAATCGTGCTCCATTTTGGGAGAGATTTCGGAGCGATCGATGCACGCGTACATATTCTATAAACGTGTATGCGTGTGTGGACTGGCGTTTAATTCGATGCACCGCACGTGCCGAATACCGATTTCTTACCTGCAGTAAAAACGGCAGTAAAAGCAGCAGCGACGAGACGAAGGCTTTTGACGTTTACAGGCACACGACAAGCTCCTGCTACTGCTGCTGCTGTTGTTGTTGCTCTCTGTCGTCGAACATATCCTGATCCGATCACCGATGATGCTGCGTATGCGCAACCAACAAAACACCACTCGATCGCGCAAAATTCTTTGCCTCTTCTCGCAATCAGCGCAACAATAACAACAATAACAATCACAGCACCAAAACAAGAAAACAAAACACCACTATTTACTCGGCGCGATGCTCTGCTCCTCGAGAGTATCTGCTGCGCACGATTCGCGCGTGCGGCTATATAACGCGCGTGTATGTTCCGAGATGCGTTTATAACAGAGAACAGCACTGAGCCAAAAGAGAGATAGAGAGAGAAGAAAAAGAGAAAGCAGTTGTCTTCTCGAAGGAGAGTATATATATCAGGTAGGTATACAGGAGGAGTGTGGCAAAATCCGTGTACTATATGCGGGCCGCGACGACGACGACTTGGGCTGCTGCTGCTGCTGCTCTCTCGCGCGAACGGGTTTTACATGCTATATACAACGAAAACTGCAGCGGGGCGAGCGCACACACACGGTTTTTCGCCTTGTGCTATTATATACTGTTGCGTCGCTGCTGCCGGTGCCGAGCTGACTGACATGGAATCTGGAATGAAACTTCTTGCGCGGCCCCGCGCGCGCCGTACATACACACACACACACACAGAGCACATTTGCCGCTACATAGGAGTCTCGCCGCAAGAACGGCTCTCCTCTGTTGCTGCTGTTGCTGCTGCTCCCCTCCCCCTCTCACCACCTCTCCTCGTCGTATAGTATCTATATAGCAGTCGAGCGTGCGATAGCGTATGACTCTTCGGATACGCTGCCGCGAGCGCGCGCCGATCGCAAATTTCTTCTTCTTCTACGACTATATGCTGCTACGTCGCGCTGCAGCGCATCCTTTTTCTGTATTGCCTTGTGTTGATGTTTTTATTTTTTTTTCTCCGTCTCTCTCTCTTGTTCTTTATACAGCCCGTGCAATGGGGAGGGAGACGTCGCGCGCAATCTGCGTCGATATGACAACATTGCCCCGGATTTTCGGAAGACGATCTGTGTATCTATTTTATATCGATTTTGTGGATCGAGTGACCGCAACGATGTCCTAGGTACGCGTGTCACGATGCGAACTAAAGCACGTGGTATTGTATACCATAAGGGAGAACGTCAATTGTTTTTTTTTTTTGGCTTTTCATCTATCTATGCGTAAACGTCGTTAAAATTGAGAAAAGTCCCACGTTTCTCATCGCGGCTATCTCGTATTCGATTCCCGATCAAAAAAGATCAAACGCGACACGCACTGCGCGCACACATCTCGACTCAAGGAAGTGCATTGACTGATCGTTTTACTTCGTATAGTATATATGCGATCGGTTAGTGTAAGCGCGCGCGTGTACACGAGCTGTATGCAAGTCGCACATGCGAATCAAGGCCGACAAGATTTCAACGCGACTATATAGATGCACTTCACGCTCTGGAAGTATGTGTACGCGGGGATATATATCGCGAGCTTTTTGCGCGATTCTTTTCTTCTCGCGAGTCTTCTTCGGCTTCCTATATATACTCTCCGCATTCTAAAACGCTGCCGATCGTTGTTGCATTATATGCCTGTATTCAATGAGAGAGACAGAAGAAACAAGTTTGGAGAAAATACCAACTGCAGCTCTTTATATGGACTACGGCAACTTTTACACTCGTTTATTCCACATCGAGTGCCATTAGCTCGATCCGCGATCGATCGATTGTTTTTTTTCTCTCTTTAAACGACGAAATTATAAAAAAAGCTTCGATAATTAATCGCCATCTGTTTGTGTACACCGTAGAATGCAATTTATAATATTGTTTCGGAGCATAAAGCACGCGAAAGTCGATCGAAAAAACTCGTGGAGACATTCCGATCGTCGAGCTTTAAAATTAATCGGAAGTTATCGATTACTCTTGCAGGTTTTTTTCTGTCGATCTTCGACTTCCCGATCGATTACTTCGAGGCCAGCCATAGAGCAGAGCGAGAAAATACAAAAATTATTTACGTTCGAAATTTACCTACTGCATATTCTAGCGTCATTTACACGCACAAGCTCATCAAGACACCTACCTTATCGATGTACGTTATCTGCGCGATATAGAAACATATTTAAATCCCTCGATTATCAACTACTCGAGCGAATCGCGATATTTTTGTTACAATGCTTCGGAGCAAATTTTCAAACCATCAGGACAAGCGGATGATACATAAATAAAAGAAATGTATTTAAAGTCTAGGAGTCGTACTGGAAAAAGATCGACGAAAACAAGCAGTAATGAGCTAGCTCGCTGCTCCGAAATGAGGCTATTTTTGTGATTCTATTTTCATAATCGAAAAAACTTCGTCTTAATACATCGGATGCATGGAAAATAGCTTCATATTAAGTTGGCTAAAAAAAAAGTATACGAAGGCGCATTTCGTCGTCGTACAAACGGGTAGAGCAAAAATGTACGTTCGCGCGCGTAACTCAATGATTGAATGTAAAGCTGCGAGACTGAATTTGTTAGATAGGCATGAAGGACGAGAATCGTTAATAAAACCTTGTCTCGTACGGAAACTAACTTGTTCTCTTGTATTATGCTATCCGAATGCATTATAGCCGCTCGATTAGATTCTCTCTCTCAAAAATAATTCTTCAAACTTCGCCAGTAATCGCAGTTTGTAGGTTTATTCCGGCTCACAAATTGCTCACGTACTTATAAATAACAGAAAAGTAAATAAATAGATAAAAGAAAAAATAAAAATGAATAAAACCTGTAACAAGTGTTTTTCGGAGCAAGGGTGAACATGCAAAATATTCTCTCGTTTTATTAGCGCAAAATTGATTAAGAAAATAATTTGATGCCTCTACTGTAAATAACGAGCTGACTGACTGTTTTGCAAGTTTTTTTTTTGACATTCGATGCTATAATAACTCCCTTAATGTTTTTCAAATGACATATTTTTTTAAATATTGCATCATTGCGAATTTTATATCCAACAGTTAACAATAAATATTTGAGGGTTTCAGGTAGTTTAATAATAATAATAGTGATTTGGATGAGAATTAACAAAAAGATTGGTTTTTCTATTTCAGTATCAATAGTGATTTATTTCGTATATAATATTTGTAAAACATTGTTATACAAAAAGCTGTAATATAAAATACTGTAAATTACATGGCGATTTTCTCAATTCATGTCATCATCGGTAAAAGATGAATAATATTAAAGAGTACCAAAGTGTAATTTACAATGTAGACGACGAAAAAATTAATTATATTCATGTAATAATGAGGGTTTGAAGAATGTACATTTGTTACCTTATAATGTTACAATTAAACTTAATTTGATATTTCACGATACGATTCTTGCCTAATCGTAAACATTCAAACCTAATCGTAAACGTTCAAAATCGTTATAAAATTTTTCACTTAAAAGTTCCGCACAATAAAACACGGCTAAGAAAGAGAATGACGATTATTCTCTCTCTGAATTTTTTATTAACACAAATATCTATAACTTACTCTATAAACCGTCTAGAACAGTTCGTGGAACATTCGACAATGGCCTGCTGTTGTTGATGTGCAGCAGTAGCACCACTACCGTTGCTTACGTTTTTATCCAATGATAAACGGGATGTTTGATCTAAAAATTCATTATTAATTTGTTGATTTGTAGTACCATTATCATAAGTTTTTGGATCACAGTGAATACTGATGTTTTCTAACTTGTTTGTAATTTGAGGCCTACTGCAGTCTTGTAGCGGCGCATCACTCAAGTCTTCTGTCACAGCCGTAATTCTGGGTATATTACTATAACAACTAAGAGTTGCTACACCATGTGTAATATTACAATCTACGCTTGGATCTGAGGAAATTCTAAATTTTGATGATTTGATGTCTGTGACTAGGTCTGAAATCTTATCATCTCCATCTTTCATTCGTAATGCTGCATTTTGAATATTTTTTTTGCTCAATGATTGGGGTTTCATTTCTGGCTTCTTCACAAAATTGAATCTATCTTTTATATGCGCCTGCAAAAATAATAAAGAATTAATAGTCAGTGTGCATGAGGTGAATAATTTATTAAATTTATGTAGCAGTGGTATTGAGAATATTAAGTAGCTTTATACGTGAATGCATCATTTGAACTGCATCAATGTACAATATATTAAGTTGACTCTAAATAAATTTTAAATTCAAGGGGAAGGAATAAACACTTGATAATTCATGACAAAATGATACATTTTAACCAATATTAAAAAGCTTTCTTGAAATAGCGATTGCTCTCATGACACAAGATAAGATATATAATACATATTATGCCTAGCTATATTATTTTTCAAGATAATTTACAGCAATTTGGAACTTTTGATGCGTGTATAATTTTCTTGAATAATTTAGTTAAGTTATAGATATTTTACTCAATTATATTTTAAATACTATCCCTCTTGATTAAAGGTAAAAGTTGTTATCATTGTTATTTTTTTCAGAGTAGCCTAATCTTATCTCAAATATTTGTAAATACACAGCCACTCGTCAACTATCTATTAAACTAACTTATGAGAAATCATTATGAAGCAAGCATTAAAAATTCAGAAAAACAGTTCCATGCGTTGTGATAAATCAAGTATGATTACTTCCCAATTTCTCTCCAATAAGTTAAAGTGAGCTGAATAATTATTTTTGGACAGTGACAACTCATAATTCATTTAAGTGTGTTGCAACTCGTATACAATGACAAATGACCAATGGAATAAAATTATCGCACATCCTGTCTAACGAGTAAAATAAAAGTCAAGTTCATCTCTTTAGATTAAGTTGAATCACCTACACGAGGGCACCCACGCGCAAAACCCACGCATATTACAAGAAACTTTCACTATAATGCAATCAAAACCGCGTTGAGTCCCAGAGCAGAGCTGTGTTTAAGTGTGTGTTAAATCCCCCCACGCAGCCTGTGCTGCTGGATCACCACAAAGGTGCCACTCGCACACGGAGCACACAAATGTATATAGATATATACATACGTACACAGAACAAGACACAAGCGCACAGACACACACGCAATCGGGCCCCCTCTAATAGTTGTGGTTTAATGTCGAGCATCATGCGTATACATAAAGGATGAGTTTTGAGCTAGTTTTGCTAGTTGGAGGTCACGGAAAATAATAAAAAAAAAATTGAGTAGATTATAGATAATTACCTGACAATCGTCAGCGAGACCATTTTTTTTCCTCTTGGCCGCAAACTGTAAGAGCAGATCGTCGAGAACGGCAGCTTTGTCATTCATCGATTTTTTCGGAATTTTGATTCTCACCGTGTCGAGGAGCCTACGCCTACGTATATCTGATGGGCTCCAATGTCGCTTGTTGGAGGGACTGTCGTTGCCTCGCCAATTCGATTGTTCGTCCATTATTTATTGTTATTGAAGATAGTTGTTTACGCTAAATCGTATATCCCGATGCCCGTCGTCCACGTCGTCGTGTGGGTGTGCGTATATGTGTGTGTATGTGTACACGAGTATGACGCGTTGTTTGCGGATCTTCTTTTGCTCTTCTCTCGCAGAGCTCCCTCGGGGCAGTCAGATAGATAGACGAACGGTTGTTGTCGCTGCTGCTTATATTATGTATATCGAAGAAACACACGCGAATCCGCAACGACTCCTTTTTTTTGGTCTATCGGCAGCTCGGCGACTCCAAACGACGCCCGACGACGGCGGCGCGAATTCGAGAAGAGCAGTAGCGGTGATATCAGCGGTTGAAGATCATCGTACGATCATCGGCTGCTATATTATTGCGGGGTATATAAACGTTGCGCGATGATAAAAACGGAGTCGAGTGCGTGTGTATCTCGGCTCACGGCATATCGAACACTGACTGCTCTTGCACGGGTGAGTCAGTTGCTTCTGCGCGGCTGGCAGCCAACGCAGTGCTGCTGCACACACGCAGAAAATCATCTCTCTCTCTCTCTTTCTCTTTTGCTCTCTCGCAAATACATCGTCGTCGCTTTTGCAGAATATATAACTGATATACGCTGTGTGGGTACTATACTACCATCGAGTTTTTAGCACGATATTCGACCAGCAGAGGGCGTCTCGACACAATGAAAACTCGTGCGAAGTTTCGATTCGCTCGGCAAAACCCAGCTGCTGCTACTGCTGCGGACTGTTTACAACGATGAGAGCCGCCCGCGGCTCGGCTCGGAGGTGGGAGCCTGCAAAAAGCATCATTATATGGGAGTTTCGATCTTCGCACTGTACAGTATAAGTGCACGCAAGCGCGCGAATAGTTCATTGACTCGACTTTTATAAAAATTTACAATGGACGTGTACTCGTTATTGTTGCTTTTAATTATTGCCAAGCGTGTAGGAGCATCCTTGAAGCTTAATAAAAATAATGTCGCGTATTATATAGAATGAACTGCCTCGCTTGCCGTTGAATTAAAGCGTGTGGTCTACACAACGCTCACGATGACGTTTGAATTGTTTATGTGGAAATTTTGTAATTGTCCTTGAAAGTTTTTTTTGCTTCATATTTTTTTTCTTTATAACAGATCAGAAAATGATTCAAGTTAGGCGGCCTGATTAAGATTTAGGTAGAGTAAATAGCATTAACTCCTCGTTTTCCTTCTCGCTTATTGGTGAAAGATCGCGTTAAATTATCATTGAGGTGTCTCTAAATCTCAGTCAGTTATTAAAAATCGCTTTGTAAACACTAGAAATTATGTAATATTTATGAAACAAAGGACAGTATCAATGAAATCGGAGAATTTATTAGTTGGTGACTATACACCCGGTCACGACCCAACACTTTTTTTATTCAGGATGTGAAAACGTTTGGCGACGTTTTAAAATGATTGAACCCCTACAGTCAGATTGATAATTAAGGATTTTGAAGTAAAATAATAAAAATAAATTTCATTTAGTACTGACAGGATATTGTTACAAAAGTGATAATGAAAAGATTGCACAGATAACTCATTAGTTATTGTACTATTAAAAGAACCTTCTGTACAATTAAAAAATAAACATAACTGTTAAACAAATATTTTATATTTGATGATACAATTTTTCAGATTTGACTCATCACTTTTATGAATCTTGACCTTGGTATAAACTGTCATGATCCTACTTCCGTCTTGATGAGTTTTGAACAGTTAATGCTCGAATAGTTGAGACATAATAACTAAAAATATGAAATTGTAACTTAATGCAGCTTAATGAGCATCAGTAAATGTTTTTGACAATTTCAATTTTATTTGGTAATAATTATTTATGGTTCTTGGTAGATTTGATAGTAAAATCGTCAATTAGAAATGAAAGTGATGAGCTGTGATGGTTCTTTACTTTACATATATTCAATTTTGGTTACAGACCTATAATTCAAATATTCAAATAGTAAATTATGTCTTTACTAATTGATGAAGGTTTGTTTCATATAGGATTATTTGTCAAAAGATAAATTGAACCTTCTTAGTATTAGAATACATTTATTTTTACAAACAAGAAATTTAACTGTAATTTATACATAAATTTATAAAAAATAATTTTCAATATTTTAGTTAAGCATTATACATTCTCTAAACTTTAATTACCTGTTCTTCACAGTTTTTTAGTTCATAAATTTGAATGTAAGCCTCTGTTAATGTAATCATAGGTGGTAAAATTGGCGTTACATGTAAATCTTGCACTTCATACCACTGTTGAGAACCTTTGTGTAATATATGAACCTTGTATGTACCGTTACTTGGTTCTCCATCATGCACAATATTAGCAACAAGATCGTAACTTGTACTAGGATGCAATGCTTTTACTTCTGGAGTTAATATATCACCAAAGTCAATGTTCTTAACAGGGAAGTTTATGATCGTTGGATTTTTTTCAACAAAAAATGTATTTTTTGTGAAACGTTTGATGTAAAGAATTACATAAGGTGGAAGTTTTCTTATTTCAAATCTTTTCATAAAACTGTCCTTATAAGTTTTATATTCTTTTTCATTCGTTGCATTAAATTTGTTCAGAAGCGTATACAAGTTGATTTGAGGAATAATATTTTCCTCAACTTGATCTTTGAACAGAGGTGGAGGTGGCAAGTCACATGTTAAAAATAGAAAAGGGCTGTCCGTTGCCGTTTCTTTGTATTCATCAGTGTTCATAAGTTCACTCCGTTGACTTTCTTCTAATTCAAGTGGAGGAATTTTCCGTGTGAATATTCTCATTTTTCCTAAAAATGTTTTATAAATAATACTAGAGTTTTCTTTTTTTGTACCCTTTAAAGCTATGTGTAAAGCATTCAAAAACCATGATAAAAAATCAACTGGATCTCCTTGCTCAGTAAATTGAAATTTTTTGTCACTCCATGAAATAACTGCCTGCAACATTTCATGTGGACTTACATGTACTTTAAAATTATGAGGACTCCATAACTTTCTCATCAATTCTCCAAATCTTTGGACTAAAATAAAAGATGAATCACCGGGTGGTCGTTTTACTTTGGAATAGTTGGATTCTTTAAGAAAATAATCTCGCAATGGCGAGACATGCGCCAAGGCTTGCAGAATAACATTGCAATAATCATTAGCTTTGATGTTATTCAAACCAATAATACCAGGAGAGTACATAGAGCCATCAATAGCTCTTGATTGCTTACTATTTTTATCTAAATCTGCAATTTTGGCATCGCTGTAAGTTGGGTTTAGAACTCTTTTAATATCCTTCAGGGATGAGTCGATAATTTCATAATTATCTGGAAGACAGTAAAACTTTAGTGTATTGAGATTTAAAAATACATGATGACTTTCGGATACACTATGTGTGTAAGCATGAGTGTTGTTGCCTCTTCCTTGAAAATATTTTCCACAAACTAAGCATGCATACACATTAATTCTTGACAGAGACACTGAGCACAGCTTTTCAAAATCAAAATCCAAGACATGTCTGTTGATAGTGTCTAAATAGGGACACAGTATTGGCTCATCAGTTTTAACTTTCTTCTCCAATACTGTAAATAGAACAAATTACGAAGTTTACTCACAGTTTCTAACCTTCATTGTGTGATAAAACATGACACATGAACTATAGTCAATAAGAATAATACAATTTCTACATGATTCTATAAAAAACATACCTTCTTCGTCAGAATTATCATTATCAAAACTTCTCTTGAGACTCTCTTTTTGTGGAATAACCATGATTATTAGGTGAATTGTTATAAATGTCAACACTGGAGCAGTATATACACACGCCGCACACGCACTAATGTATTGGTTCTACGTTGTCGATCGTTCAAAATCACTTTGACACTTTCTAGATTTGACCGCGAGGTGTCATTAGCGTACAACGACTGTCGGCTTTACATCCGCAGCACAATATTATCGTTACAGGATCGTTTAAAATCAAAGGCAGAGCGATTTTCAAACATAGTCTGCTGTCTCCGAAAATTCGATGACCAATAGACAAGTCTCGTGAGCAGGACCCAAAAAACGAGTGGTTTTTATAGTATGTACTTTAATTTATTACTTTTTTTACACCAATATTATCATTCAATTTATTTAAAGAAAATTTGAGAGTTTTCAATGACTTTCTAATTGTATATCTTTTTTCCAGATTTTCACGATTCACCTCGATGTAACTTCAATCGAATAGGTACAAATATTCACGATAATGGAGCAAAGAGCACCAGCAAATGCAGGTAAAAATCAATATAAAATTTTCAGAAAACTTTTCCATGTTGTTGGCAAGTTGACGTTTTGAGCGTGGCATATCCATGTCCTTATTCATATATAAATAAAGCTGGCCAACGGCTAAAATAATTTTCTATTGGGGCTCAAATGTCAACAAATTTATTCGTTTCGATCGTAGTTGAGTTGATCGACATCGGCTCATCCGACGACGACAACGAACCGCAAATAATTTCGCCGAATCCGTCCGTATCAACGATACCGACGTCACCCTACGGCCACGTCTTGCAAGCGACGTCGTCGACTCTCAACCAAGCAACGACGTCGTGTGTCAGCGTCGACGATGCCGTAATTCTCGACTGCCTGGGGGTGGAGTTCGGGTGCTTCAGGTTCCGGCCGCTCCCTGGGGTAAAACACGCGTACCGCATCTGCTTAGAACGAATTCACTTCAGATTGGCGGTCCTATCGAATCGTAAGGCGCGATCATCGCTATCGACGCAAAATACGACTTGTCTAATTTTTTTCTTGTTTTCGTTATCGTCTTTTTACAGCTTCTTTGTATATAACTTTTAGCATTTTACAGCAGCATATCGTGAAAATTACAATGGAAATGGTAAGGAACTTGTGTCACTGTACTGTATTCTTCGACGATCTTGCAACCAATACCATAATGGAAGAGATGTTCAGAAGAAATCCCAATGATTGTTATGATCATTCTGGGATTGGTATGAATTCGATATTATCGAAATCGAGGGATAATATACGATTAACAATTTTTTTCTTATCGATAGGAGCTCCTGTGCCTGTAATCACGTTCGTTCTTCGCGATGTGTTGAACCCGGAAGATCATGCGAGGATCACGTCTATGTTTGGGACGCGTTTCCAAGCGTCAGAAAAATATTTGATGCAATTTTCGAAGACAGAACTGAGGCCAACGTCAAAAGATGATAAAATGTGAGCGCAGTATCATTATAAGATATAGCCGATTCAATTTCATCGTTTCGGTGTTAAAATTGACTATCCGCCTTCGTTGTCAGTATAATCACTTATCCAGGGGGGGCTCAGAGCGGAGGTTTCGTTATAAGGGTCAATGACTACAAATGCCTGGACGACGGCGCCTATCTGAACGACGTCATGATCGACTTCTACCTCAAGTACTTTGTCGACAATATCCTCTTGGCGGAGAATCGGCCAAGGACCCACGTGTTCAGCTCTTTCTTTTACCAGAACATAGCGCCCAGTCCCAATGAAAATCCGGGGCTCGAAAATTCAAAGGGTCGTCATAAAAAAGTCAGCAAGTGGACAAAACACGTCAATATATTCGAGAAGGATTTTATCATCATCCCTATAAACTTGCAGTGAGTATACTCAAGGCGATTGAATTTTAAATTCTTTTATTGAATAATTTGATTGCAGTCAGCACTGGTTCGTGGCAATCGTATGCTTTCCTGGACTAGCGCTCATCACCGAAAGCCAAACTCCGATTTTGAACAGAGCTGCCGGTCAAAGCGGCGGAGTTCGCGAGTTGTAAGTATGCACTTCGAATTTCATCGACAAATTTTTCATTTGTACAATACACGAACTGTGCAATTTTTTTCCTTACGATTTTAGACCTTGTATTTTAATATTCGACTCGATGCCGCAGGATCGTGGAGATGTTTTTACGCCCATATTAAACTATCTCACTCATGAATACGAGGCCAAGATTGGTGAAACATTTCAATTCTCGACGAATAATATGGGAGTCGATACGGTAGTCGTTCCTGCCCAGGTAAATTCATGGAATTGTGGCTTGTTCCTGTTAGAGTACGTGGAGCGTTTTTTCACGGTATGCACGCGCGTAATTAATTATAGTCGAAGTGAAGCCCGTGTCCTTTTTTTACTGATTTAAATGCGATAATGATCATGATTACAGCATCCCATCAAGGATTTTAGCATACCGATTCTAGGATTAGAGAATTGGTTTAATCAGTCATGTATCAGCAACAAAAGAATTGAAATCAGCTTGATTATTAAGGACTTAATCAACCAGGACGAGGTTGTACTGCCAAAACTGTTTGAAACTGGCCAGCTTATATTTTCGGACTTATTCCAGTTTATTGAATGATATATTCGTGTACACAAACAAAAAATTAGTAATCGCGCAAATTACTTTTTGTAAATAATGTGAAAATCAATTTTATCGAATATGATTGTGTGATTTTACGACTCGGTCGTATTTTATCATAACGTAACTTCGAAGAAATTCGAGCAAGGAATGTAAAAAGCGAATTTGAAATTATAAAAATTATTTTTCGTATCTGTCCTTATTATTTTAAAAAATAATGTAATATAATGCACTTAATTTTTTTTTCACTCATGCTCACTATTAATATTTCCATACGTACAAAAATATAATTGATTTAGGATTGCGAGTATGGTAGTACGAGAGAATCAGTCATATTCGATGTCAGGGCGCGGCTTCTGCTCATAGTACTTTTTTTATTTATTAGACAAATGTTACAAATTTCTATTATAAGTTTATCAAACGGGATTGAAGGAGAGAAAAATTGCCGATTGTACAAATAGGTTTATCGTCCACGAGAATCTTGCACGATTGTTTTAGTTTGATCAGCAATCGCTGTGAATGTAAATAATTCAAAATAATAACTCGTGTTTTTTTTTCTTTTTAATAACGCATACGTATAAACCTTTACCAGTCAATATCAGGAAAAAAATAAATCTGGACGCATAAGTAAAGAAAAAAAAGTATTTCAGCCCTGACCATTTCAATCGACACTTTTTCAATATTATTTGAGAAAAAATGGCATATACGGTTTACGTCAAAAGTTTCTTAAAAGCTTCGCGTGCAATCAAATACGGAGCTTATATAGGTTGGCATATACTTGTTTACGTCAAAAAAGAGTTGCGTTCGCGGCGCAAACATTTAACTTGCCAAATTGACTTGGAGAAAGAGATTCCCGGGGCCGATAAGGCTTTGTCAACGTGGTATTTTCACCTACGCAGCGAAAAATGTCTAGAACCGCGTACGGAATTAGAGTGAAAATCAGAATCTCATAACACTCATAGAATAAATCAATGACTCACGCATAAAGTTCGCAATTAGACATCCCGAATGTTAATGTCTCGCCGCAGAGACGGAGACACGTGCAGTGCTGCGAAAAGTGATGTCGCGCGTAGATTAAATCGGATAAGAAGTGTAATTTTGGCATGAGCGCGGGTGTTTGTAAGCGTGTACGTGTGCGACCGTCATCGTGCTGGAGCAGCAGCAGCAGTTCTTGTTTAAACAACAACAGGGGGGGCTCACACACCACCTGCAGGAAAGGAGTTACGCGCGTAAAATGTATACCTATATGTATACGGGCGAAGGAAAGAGGAGGAGTATTCGCAAGCTCAGGTGGAGTAGGTGTAGGACACGATTCAGCATCGTGTAGGCTGCTGCTGCCACCGACGAACAGCCACGAGTGCGCTGGCGCAGATCGATATGCTATTTCTCTCCCTCGCTCTCTCTTTCTCGCTTTTGCCGTGTGAGCGCGAGCTTATAAAAGCTCGCAAGCTCCCGCGGATCCTTTCACATTGCAGCGTTGTGTGTATACGGAAGGACGACGTCGTAGCATACACATATACCAGTAAATCGCAATCGTACCGGCGAGCAGCATCTTTTCTGCGGATCCCCCGAAAATTCGACAACGATCTCTACGTCTTGGAAAGAGAGAAGCAAATTATTCATCTAAAGGAATATTGTCACTTCTGTGGGTGTCCGTGTGTCTGTGTGCGTGTCATTGCTGTTTGTCTTTTTTTTTCTTTTTTTTTTTTTTTGATATTTTTTTGTGTTATCGAAGGTGTCGAGTTTCACGCCCCAATCATCATGATCCGCGACTCTTTAAGTGCTTCGATTCTTGATTTCTCGCCTCCAAGTTCGTCCGGCTCGATCGACGCGAGCATCCGTTATTATTTTCATTTGTTTATTCAGCCGATCGCGTCGTAATCGAGTCGGACGAAATGAACGAGGACGGAGAAGAGAGTAGGAAAAAGAAGATCGTCGCGACGGATTGTCAAGCGCATCAGCGCAGCTGCGCTGCCGCCGACGCAAAATATGATAGGCGAGCACTTGTTGAATGTACTGCTGCTGCTGCTGCTCTCCATGCACTCGTGTACTCGTGCAAACTCTTATCGCGCCGATGCTGCTGCTCCGGATTTTATATTTGAAGCGATGCGTCGGCTCAAGCGATGAGTTTTTTTTCCATTTTTCTATCGGTACTGTAAATATATGCAAATTCGAATAATACTTGTAGTTGTCGTTTAAATATCGTTGTAAATTAACTTGATTTTGAGGCATTATATCACGAACAAAATATTGCCAGATATTTTGTCGCGTAACTAATGAAGTTCGATATTCTTAGAGATCGTAAGAGCGAAGCCAATTCGAAACGCTTCGAATTCAAAAAAAAAAACGACAATAATTCCGTGTTTACATCGTAAGCTCCTTGTTGCACTCGCACAACTAGATAATCCGCACAGAGTAGCATATGGCATAAACGTATATCCTCGTAATTCGCTCGACGCTCGATGTTGCATCTGTAATGTTAATTTTCTCCGACTCACGCTGGATCATTTTGCTGTGGGGTGAGGCTCGATGCTCCGAGTACGAGTTGTGAAAGGAGCGTGGCTGCAATGCCAACTTATACAAAATTTGTTCCAACGATTGCTGTACAATAAGTGAGTACAAATTATAAAAACCAAAGGTATACAACAATTAGGAAAAAAAAACGAAAATAATTTCTTGTAAAACGATCATATAATTCATTCAACAAAGAATCTAATAACGATATAATAATGAATAGTCTGTCAAATTGCTTGGTACTACGATCGAAAGACATGTTAGGATGACATCTAATAATACATTATACCATTATTACCTGGGTTACAATAAGTAGAAAGCGATTTCTGCAGTCGAACGTGCACTTTTTTTCTCATTTTTTCTCTCTCTGGCCTTCCACACTTTTCGCCTCCGCAAACAAAAAAAGTGTGGAGGGTGCCTCATGGTGTAGGCCTACAGGGGATGCCCGCCATGTAAAATAAGGGGAACGCGTGCCGCAGTACGGTACCTCTTGGGTGACGTGGAAAGCCGTACTCTTATCCTGTCTTTCTCTCTGCGATGCTCTTTTTTCTGGTACGTAAACGTCTTTTTTTTTTACATTTTTTGCCGACGCGATCGAACAGAAAAATTATTAGCACGCAGACGTTCGATCGCTACGAGTAAATCGCTTTCTCATTCAAAAGGTTATGGGGGTGCGATTCGATTGAATTGTATAATGCATTTCTTTCTGTGTTTCAGCGCAGTAATCACCATCGTTGACCAAGTTCAACATAAAATAGTGAATTTCTTTTCTATGTGAATCGTGTAGTTCCTTTTTTTAGTGATTTTTTGCCCCTTCAGCTCGAGTGATTCAATTACAAGATGATATTGGATTGAATATAGAAGACTTACTCGGCCGCTACGCGCACTTCATTACTTCTTGCTGGCTCGATCCTGTGAGAAAAGTAAGTACCTTTTCCCTTTTCGATCTATTTGAACTTTGAATCCTCGGTCGAGCAAAGTTTTGATTTTCTTCGAGCCAAACTAGCAACTGGTAATGACCCCAGTGAAATTTACTATTTTTTAAGCCTCGAACTTTATTCAACGAGCATCGATGAAAAAAAAATTTAAAAAAAAACGAACAGCTAGAAGCGAATGGTCCGTTGGATGGAGAGTAAAGACAAGCGTACTTTTTGCAGCAATATTGCCTCGAAGCAACGCACCGACGCTTTTATTTTAATTATTCCACCTTTTTCCATCCATAAAAAAAGTTACTCCTCTAATCGCCTTCGAGTCAAGCATCGAATTATTATACACAAAGCTCGCTCGTCTTTGTTCAATTTTAACGGCCACGCGCAGAAAGTAATGCACATTTTGCTTTACTATATTTTACCAAATTACGAGCAACCGAATCATCCTCGGAATGAAGTCGTAAAAGTTTTTCCGGATATATAGCCGACATCCCCTGCCAGCTTCATTATCATATTAAGAATTTGCATTTTTCTCGCGTTTCAGTCGTACGTACGGTTTAAGCGTAGCCGCGCGTACTGCAATTATGCAAAAGGTCGCAAATGAATATATCGAGGTCGCGGCTGCGAGGCACACGAGTCGCCCGCATCACCCGCAATAACAATAAAAAATTAGAAAATTTTATCTAAATGTCACAAATATTTTCTCGCTCTAACTTTGAATATGCATGAAGCGTCAGCTCCCATCGGGAAAAGATATTCCAACGGCTAAACGAGTCGAACGTCGGGGAGGCAAGCTAGAGTTGCTGACATCCGTCGGGGGCCAAAAAGCCATGTATCGAACTCACTCGAGTTCGCGGACACTACATCGTGTACGATATAATAATTTAGAGTAGAGAAATGAATTTGTACTCTGAATTATTTTAGTAAAAAGTAAAAAATATTTATAAAAACTACTCGTTTAAACTCAATTTTACATCTATCCAAAAGAAATCTGCTTGAAATGCTGGGGCAATTGTACGCTCGACGTTTGCACGTCGCATACACGTCGCTTAACACGAAGGTGAGAGCTGCGAGCAGGTACGGTTTTAATCGTCGATGTCGCTTTATCTTGCTTAGCTCGTCTCTTTCTTTCTCGCTCTTTCTCAATTTGGCCCTGGCGCTGATGCAGCGTTTCTTCCTTTGAAAGTCTCTGGATAATTGATTTGTCAGCCAGTTGCACTCGTAGAGAAAAAGAGAAATGAATGCATCATCTTTAGATTCATCTTTTCACGTCTCTTTTTTTTTTATTTCACAACCTGATTGTTCCTTCTATTCGATGCCAACGGTTCCAAATTGACTGATAGATTTTTCTTCCAACACTTTTATTTTCTTCGAAAAAGTATGTCACAGTCCACAATGGCTGCGCAGATCGAAACGCGAATACAGACGCGCGATCCCTGAAATAAGTGCAAGTCTTCTCAAATCTGGGCTCGATTCAGCGCGCGGAAAATCCGCATTATAATGGACCACGCGCGGACGCGATCGCGCAAGGGCCAAACGTGCTCGGCGTCGCAAATACACATACCTGGCGCACGGAATACTACGTGTAAGCTCCATTATTCGAATTGGTCATTAGCCGTGAGTACGTATATAGTAAGAGCAATTCGCGCAGCGTGGAAGGCAGCGAAATCGCGTGCCGAATTTCAAAATTGTTTCATTCGATGAACGTCGATGTTTTTTTTCTCTCAACTTTTCAAAAAGTTCAGTCCGGCGCACGCGAGGCTCGCTACTTATTCATTACTACGGAGTTGTAACACAGAGAAATGAATATTAATATCCGAGTATTATGGCTGGAAATGGGCGAGCTTTTGCAGTAATTTGTATATTACACATAAACGCCAAGTTTCGCAAAAGTTTTGCATTATACCAAATTGCTCGAAAATCCAACTCGAGTTTATAATACACGTGTACACATAGCCATGCACGTACGCGCTCGCGAGCAATCGAATTACGTCATTTACAGAGCTTCGCAAGCACACATACGCGCGTTGACAAATACGCGAGTGGTTACGAGTGGTTTCTCGTGTTTGTATACGCAGCGCATATCGCGATAGAATCAACGTAGCAGCAAAGCGCTTACGAGTATTTATATGCCAGCATGCAGATAGAAAATATGGCTTTTATAATAGAGAAATATGTTTGTCTACGTGGACAACTAGACGTTATAATATTCGTCGAAACATCCTTGCCCGTGCGTCATTTGTAAATATTAAGCCGTGCGTCGCAGTCGTGGACGCGCGCGCACGTGTCTGACCATGCGTGGCCTCGAACTACTATACCTACTATGTCGCGATCGCGTCCGGGCCATTGTCATTTTAGTGCAATATAGCATAAAACGCTGGTCTCCTATAACGGAGATCGATCACGCTGCGAAAGCTTCTTTTTTTTATCCGCGACGCTTTTATAATGAATAGCAAAGGGATAGCAAAAAGGGTCAAACGCACAAGTGTCGTTTGACAAAAAATTATTAAAAATTACGTGAGATGGTTATTTTTTGACCATGTTCCGAAACTTAATTCGTACGCAAAGATCCTGTACACACTCTTTAAGGGCTCAGTGCAATTTATTTAGGGTTTTCCTTGCGTCCTAACGTTATTACTTTTTTTATGGTCACTTGTGTACTGTCCACGTGCAAATAGACTAAGTCTCGGTTATTTTTCATCCTTACTATTTTTGTACCACTGCAAACGTACCCACGCACAACTTCGTACCCATGTGTATGAATATATCAAACGAGTTTTAATCCTGCTCCCAACTCGTTCGCGTGCCTAGCCAGTGGTCCTTAAGTTCATATAAAGAGGCTATACACTCGTGCAGTTGTCGAGTTGGCTTTTTACAAAGGACCATATACAAAAACTGACACATATATTATACGATATATGGATGTAACATGTGCTATGTTTCTCTTTGTTGCGTGTGCACGAGTGAACATAGACGTCGCAGGTGTCGAGCGCTTCAGTACTTGTCCGGTTTCTCTTTTCACCTCCCTTTTTTTCACCCCAGGGAGGATTGCTTTCGCGCGCTCGAGACTCGAGCCTCGGTCTCTGTGTTTGTTTGTGTGTGTGTGTGTGTGTGTGTGTGTGTGTGTGTGCTCGCGTAGGCGTTGCTGCACGCGGAGCTTTCCTCGAAATGTATTGCTCGAAACGAAAGTGCGACAGCTTTGGGAATAGCGAGTTTCGCTCTTCGTTGCTGTGCTCCTGGCAGATATGCACCATCTACTATCTTGTTTGCACGCGAGCTTATGGACCAAAGCTTTTGAGGTAATACATTTTAAGCGACATATACATACCCTTCTATTATAATGCCTCGATAACCCACTAAATTCGAGGGTATTAATTGGGCAGCCGCGAGAAAAATCTCGCCTAATCAGTCGCGAGAGTAAAGGGATATTAATTCGATGCCATAACCTTTCACCTGTATGTGCCTTGTGCATACACGCAATATGATTTGTCTCCTTCTATGTGTAAACGCAAACACGAGAAATATGTTAATTAAAAATGCCCTACCTACGGCAGAAATTTTCCATTTTTTTCCTCTTTAACGCTGCTCGCGCGCGAGCTTCTACATTGAAATAAATATACCTAAACGTAACGCAGCTGCTTTGCTCATACGCCTGTGCATTAATGTATGAAAAAACTTTTCGCCGTTACTACAGTTGAAAATACGCGCACCTGTCTGTATTTTTCAATTTTACACAGCTCACTACATTATTATAAACTGCTATCAGTGTATACGTGTTCGTAAGTGTGCGCGGGACGCTCCCTTTTGCTTCTCCAACTGCGAACAGTTGTTCTCGCTCGACAATTTTTCATGCTTAGTTTTGATTAGCAGTCACTGTGGGCGCTCGACCGCGATACTTTTTCCCAAAGAGTCGCAAAAAACTAAGTAGTTCTCTCAAGACAAATGGAGTAGTCCTTCGCGATCGTGATTTGTTTTTTTTTCCTCGTCGTCCGCTTTTCAACCGCGGGGTGAATCAAGATACATTATACACACAATGGCGTGATTATCAGTAATAAAATACCGCGAGATTCATCGGTCGACTGAAAATAATAAAACATTAATCATTTTCATTGGTGTTTACGTAGCCATAAAGAGCTTGTATTTCCTTCGATCGAGACGATTTCTACGATTTATAATGCAAAAGATATCGGGGAGAAAGGTAGAAATTTATTTTCATTCCGTCTATCCGTTTTACATATTTCATAATGAACCTACCTTTGTTTTTATGATCGTTCATTTGAGTATAATTTACCGGCAGGAAAAAAGTAATAAATCGCATGAATTATATTACCAATGAGCTACAAATATTTCAGTGGATATTATAACTAGCATTCTAATGAGCCAGAGTTATTTTTTCTAAACGTTAGCCGTGTTGGGAGTTTACGTGCACCTGAGGTGTGTTGATATTACTCCAGGGCAAACTACGTGATGGATTATCTTAGTTTTCAAGCTCGACCTTGATATATACACGTCTTTGTCCAGGCAACAATGTACACTCGAGAGATTAATCATCAAATCATCTTGTTTCGATTGACAAAAACATACATTTTTCATTGAATCTGATGAAAAAAATGTTGTTATTAAAATTCAAAAAATAGTTTTGTAGTAAATTGTAGTTATTTAAAATCAATTTGAAAACATTTTTAATCGAAGTGTTTTCAATCTGCATAAATTTATTTAATTAAATTAGTCAAGATTTACGTGGCAAATCAGTTTTGTAAAATTCACGGTTGAAATCTTCAATTTATTACTCGGCGCTATTTTCAATGAGAATCCACTTTCCATACCAACGGAATAAAATTTTTTTTCGCGCATAAATCAAATTTTGGCAGGGTTTTTCATGCACGCTCGTATAAAACATACTTGTCCGACGGTCTTCCTGAATTTTATTTTATTTTTCGTCGACAAATCGATCAGGACCGAATTTATTTGGTTTTTTTTCGCTGTAAATTGTGGTCAACGTGTGAATGATAGAACTCGGTATAGGATACGCGAGTTGGCTTCCGTGCCGTACGATTCTCGCGAGAAATGATTTACCGTCGGACTCAGTCGCCGCGAGGTCCGCATTCAAAATCATTCGCCGACGGGAAACGGTATCGAGCGCGCGCTTCAGTCTCAAAGTTTCAATAAATGTATACTTATATCGCTTTCAAATACGTCACGTTGTCGATCGCATCGTGGCTCGTGGAGTACGTCGCTAGGTCGCTACGCTCGTATCGATTTCTTCTCGCAATTTTCGTCGAGCACTACTGCAGCTGCGGGATTGCAATCGCCAATGGCGAGACTATCGCGCACATTTGCTCCAAGATCGTTCGGCGTCAATAGCATTGCGAGGAAGAAAAAAAAGGATAAAATCCATGATAGCTATGAATTCCGAAAGATTGGAGTCGTTTTGATCATTCTCATCACGCGTCTTATCGAGTTATAAACGACAAAATATGCTTTCTCGAAATCATAGCTCTAATTCCTAATTTACGAGCTTCGATTTGGATGCAGCTATAAAAAATGTAAAAAGCATCTTCGATTCGAAGATTATGGTATTGCTTTTGAGCACATAAAAGTCGTTTTTCCGATCACTTGGACTATGATCAATTTCAAAGGCATATGCCTCTATCGCAGCGTCGGCTAATATCGTAAAAAAGCATCGTCTGTATCAGTATCGTGCACTGGGATCACTCACTGACCGATAAGAGTGTAATAAACGAATTTTTTCGAGATTCTTAACGTTCCGTCGAGCAATACATGTGTCTTGAATTGATCGGAACGAAACAAAGGTAGCTGAGAAAATTTTTCCCACTCACAGCCAAGTATCGTAGGTTGTATATCATTTGTCTCTATTATTTCTCATACATATTTCAGAAATTTTCAATTAAATAGAGTATTAGTGCTGATATAATTCAGAAACATTTTCGAGCTATTCATTTATTTGAAATTTAATAGAAGCAGTAGCCAAATAACTGGCAGATCGTCGAAGCGTGTTCTAAATTCTAATCGATTCTGCCCCCAGAAGTTCTGAACAGTTGCAACTTGAATCGACGAATACTTCAAATTATTATTTGAGCAACATATAATATGTTACCGATGAAAGGGCCATTTAAAGATAAAATTGGTTGATTCATTTTACTCTTCTATTGAATCAGTGATCGACGCATAAAATTGTTAATCGTTAAAATTGCTATAATTCGTCGAATGCACCCGTACGGTATAATTCACTCATATTGGAATTCGATAAAATTCTAATATAGAAACGTATCTCCTCTCTAAATAGTAAAGGTATTTAATTATGATATTTTCATGAAAAGTCGAATGTTTACATACAAAAAATAAATAATCGATTCATCGTGAAAATATTCCATTAATTGTATCAGTATTTATTAATATTATTGGGCTCGATCGACACGTATTTACATTTTCAGTTTCGTCACTCCATGAAAATAATTACGTAATTTGAGATCTCGGTTGCAGCTTGATCCAGAAGCCACCGGCAGCCGAGGGTATGTAATTGGACTTGTCGTAAGCCGTCGGCACGCAGGTCTTGGGCGACGGCACGAAGCTGCACCTGGACAGTATGCGGGTGAAGAGGATCTTGGTCTGCTGCAGGGCGAAACGATTGCCGATGCACATCCTTGGGCCGAGGCCGAAGCCCAGATTCGTCACGTCCGTCTTGATTTTGTTCTCGACGAATCGCTCCGGGTCGAAGACGTCCGGACGCTCGAAGTGCTCGGGATCGCGCATGATCGGATAAGCCGGCACGTAAAACTTGATGCTGTGCTCGGGCCGGACGAGGAAGGGCCGCGAGCCCGGCAGCGCCGGCGGCAGCTCGAACTCCTTCGAGCACTCCCTGATGAGAATCGGAAACGGATGCATCCTCAGCGCCTCGTAGAACGTCGCGTCGAAGTAGGGCATGTTGCCGATCGTTTCCACGCCAATCTCGCCGTTGCTCTCTCGCAGTCTGGCGTCGATCTCTCGCTGCAGCTTGGCCTGCACGCGGGGATTCAGGGCCAGCTCGTGGGCCAGCCAGCACATCTGCGTCGACGAGCTGTCGAGGCCGCCCATGAAGAACACGTAAGCCTGCGCCGCGATGTCGTAGATGTCCCAATTTTTGCCGCTCGCCTGGGCGTCGATGAGCAGCTGGAGCGCGTCCGGCCGGGACGCGTTGTCTCTGCGTCGGGCCTCGATGATACTCTTGATCAGGGAGACGAAGTACTCGCTCGTCTCGACGGGCACCATCGTGATGTTGAAAAAGCTGCCGAGCTTCGGGAATATTCGCGTGAGAAAAGTGGCGAACCTCAGTCGTCCGATATTCACCACGGAGTTGGTGCCGTGGAAGTAAAACTCATTGGCCGGGTTCTTCAAGCTGTCCACCTCCAGTCCAAAGGCGCAGCTGGCGATCACGTCGCATATGTATCGAGCGAAAATGTCTCTCGAGTCGATCGCGTCCCTGGCGGTGTACTGCTCGATGAACGTCGCGGTGAATCGCTCGGCCACGCGATCGATCGCCCCGTGCATCGAGCGCATCCGGCTCGACGTGAAGAACGGCAGCAGCACGGTGCGCGCCTCCTTCCACTTGTCGCCGTTGACGTGAAAGACGTTCTTCGCGTAGAGCGGATCCGTCGCCTCCTCGATGGTGAACTCCTGGTCGGCGAAGTGGTCGAAGTTCTTCACGAGTATGCTCTTGATGAGGTCGAGGTCACGCGGAATCACGTGCGGCTTCGTGAAGAAGTGGCAGCCCACGTACTTGGCCCGCTTGTCGTAATTGTAGAGGCGCGTCAGGACGGAGGTGAAGTGCTCGCCGGTGAAGTAGGCCTCGCCGAAGATCCCGAGGAACGGCACCTCCACTGGACCAGGCACGCCCCATCGGACGAAACGCTTTCTAAACTCGTTGATTTTGAAGATCAGATAGATCAGCGCCGAGAGTGCGAGAGCCCACAGCCATTGGTACATGTTCCGTCGCGCACCGAGCAAGCACAATACTACACCGCGAATGAGAAGAGCGACGACTAGCTCCGAAAGATCGAGGCTGCGAAGCCGCGAACCGAGAGAAAAACGTTTGTTATGGAAACTGCGAGGTATGTGGCGGAATATGCACATTTAATGCGCAGAACGTTTCGAGCCAAGTGGAGGGGAAAGCCGCTAGATAAGTTCATCATAGAGCTCCGATCCGATAGATCCGATGATCGAGACAACGTATAAACATTTGTGTTGGAAAGGCAGAAAAATCGATCCTGCCGGCCAGCGGCTACGTACGTTATCTCTGGCACGCGAGACGTTATAAGCCGAGCGCGATGATTGATTCGCGCGCGAGCGCTAACGATAAACGATCCTCGCGACTTTACGCATTTGAGAAAAATTACGGACCTTTGGTCCGCGGATCTCTATTTGTTTTTTTATTCTAACGCGATAGATCGCGTCGCTTTGATATATCGTTGAACATTGATAAAACATAAACGACGATTAATATTAGTACGTTCGGATTAAGAAAAAGCCGCAGGAAAGAAAACGTCGCACGTGCTAATTGATATTCAAAGTGTGAGCTGCTACGCGGAGTGACTGACTTTGCCGCACAAAAAAGTACTCGTTTTTATACCATTTCAGTTTTAACGCAGTTGTGTCGGTTGATTTAATAATTAATTTACTCTGTTTAGTTTCGCGGATAAAATTAATCTATTCGGTGCATTTAATTGTGCCTTGTTCAACTTACAGTGTAAAACAATGAATAACTTTAAATTGCTTTATGATATCATTTTGTTATATTGGCATCGTGAAAAACATGTTTTAAGTTGAAGCAATTTGAGATGTACAAACATGTTTATTTTGGGACTTTCAGTCAATTTTTTTATTTTCTTTGGGTTCAGAGAATAAAAATGGATTTTAATCGTATAAATTTAAAATCTTCACAATTTTTTGAACTCAAAATCTATTTTAAATTACTTTTTCAAATGTGATATTGACTGATACAGAAATGCCTTTAATAGGTCTAAGTTGATGGGGACTAGAAGTCTAATATTTGAGGAATCAATAACTTTTTCTGTACTTCTTTAGCACACCGTCAAAAGATATATTATTTTTTGATCTGCAACACTTATTATGATACAACCTATGGTTATTTTTGATGTGTGGGTAGGTAGATTAATAAAAAAAATCAAAACCGTTTCATTTTTAAATTTATTCATTGATTGACATGAAAATCTACAAAATTCAATAATATAAGACATAAATAAACATTACAAATTTTGTTATAGACATGAAGGCTTTTGTCCTAGGATGAGATATCTTGTGAATATTTCCAAAGATGTGGAGTCCCATGGGTAACCAAGCCATAGAGTTTGTTTGTCAAGTTTTCTCAAGAATAAGATGAATCGCACAAATCCTTCATATTCGTCATCCGTCGTATCCGTCGAAGACGGATTACAACCTTACTTTTCAAGATACTTCATAAGAGTCTCCTTCTCCTCCTTTTCTGGGTTGTCGCCGTTGTCTGGCTTCTTGTCATTGACTAACTCCTCACCGTTATCTAGTTCCATGTTGCATTCATTGCCCTCTAGGCTCTTACGAATGTCACAAGCGAAGCTCTGGTCAGTGGGATTAACCAAGCCAGACCGATCGGCACCACGATCCACGAGAAGGTCGACGGTTTCTCTTAAGAATCTTGCCACGGCCCATTGTAGCGGTGTCAGGCCGTTATTATCCTGGGCGTCGATTTGTACCGTTCGGCGTTGCTCGTCGCTTATTTCAAAAAATTTCCTCGCCAAGCTTTCACCAATAGCAACGCTCTCTACCTTGCAAACAACATGCAGAGGCGTCCGTCCCTCCGAATCGCGCAAATCCAAATCTGCGCCTTTTTTCACCAGCAAATCGGCCATGATCGTGTCGTGTAACTCAAAAGCATAGTGTATGGGTGCCAAACCATACCTGTCAGGGGCATTGACTAACTGATTATTTTCTCTATTGACATGGAAAAATATCTATGCCGTCTGCTGGTACTTTTTTTGGACAGTCAAGTGCAGAGGTGTCGACCCGTCGTTGTTTGTCAAATTTGGATTGGCGCCTTTTCTCAATAGCAATTCGGCGGCCTTCTTGTTCTCGTTGATCAGAGCCGTGTGTGTGCAGAGGTGTGTCGCCGAATATACCCTTGATGCTGAGCTGCACCAACTGATTTTTTTCGTCGCAGATATCGAATAACATCTGCAACATAGTATCGTCGCTACACTTCTTGCAAATCACGTGCAGAGCTGTTAATCCTTTTTGGCTGGTCAAATTCGGACTGCGCCTTTTCTTAGGAGGAACTCTGACAACTTTAAGTTGTTGGAGCACAGAGAATAGTGTAGGGGGGTCATGCCGAACTTGTCCTGGGCATTGACCTGCAGCAGCTGATTTTTTTCGTTGCTGAACTCTAATAACATATTTGCTGTCTCAATGTCATCGCATCTGGTCTTGCAAATAATATGCAGAGGAGTCATTTTTTTCTCGTTTATTGAATTAGGATCGGCTCCGCTTCTCAACAGTAATTGTGCTAAAACTTTGTGGCGGTAGGTAAGAGACAAATGCAGCGGAGGGTCAACTAATTTTTGCGCGAGATAGTTGGGGTCCTGCCCATGCTCGAGAAATTTCTGAACAGTATCCGCAAGCCCAAGCATGCAAGCCACGTGATAGTGCGTTAGACCAGTCTCGTCGATGTAATTCAAATCAAATCTATTGTAAATATCAAAAAGTTTGGGGATGACTTCGTTATCGGCTTTATTCCGTACCGCACGATGCATCGCTGTGGTGCGCCTGATCCACAATGGAACATTGTTCTTATCATATTTTGGCTTGTCTTTGTAGCTGGTTTTTATCACAAAGTCGAGGAATGAAACTATTTTACTATTTTCAATTTCTTCTATGAGAAGCCACTCAATTTCTTTCGACTCAAAACTTTCTAGAAGTTTTGGAGGTTCGCCCTCCCACTGTGAGATTATGGGATAAAGTTTAGAAAGAAAAAAAGATCTGTCTGCTTTGATCCCTAAGTCGAGAATCTTCAATGTTTTCAAGTCCATCATTTTTCGGCTCACTTATACACAACGCACAATCGCTTACACTTTAAAATACTTTTGATTTTTTTTTCTCGTTACCGATGTGATTTTTTTAGTTGTTCACACCTCGGCGTTAGAACGCACACTGACTGCGATCACGGTAGGAAAAACTATATAAGGTGTAAGTCCAGTGGAGACGGGGCCGTCCGAGTGTATAAAATATAGGCGGGCCCGTTCGCCGCTTCTTCGTTGCACTTCAAATTTCGAATGTCTTACCGAATCAGGCGATTCGAATTACAGCGCAAACGCGAGGAACACAGATGGACCTTTGGCCTGGTTTTTTTTATAAACGGAATGAAGATTCGTTGAGGCAGAGCTTAGAGTGTCGCTGCAGTCATCATTTACACGTAACTTTATGGAAAAAATAGGACGCGCCCGGAAAGAATGCCAGCGTCGGCCGCTCGAACTAAATTTTTTCTTATGAGAATTAACACGAGAAAGAGCTAATACGCTTGTATTCAAATTTCATCAATTCAGCTTGGCTCAAGTTTTGGAAAACCTCAAGTTTTTGTCCATATACTTTTATTACGTTCTAAAGGAAGTATCAAAGCTACCAAGCTGACATTTTTCACACTTCATCGGGTTAGTATTTGGTTATTAAAATTAGAATTTGTATAGAATTTGAGAATAAAATATCAGATGATTTCACAGCTAAGTTTACCACACTTGCGCTCTATCGTGCTTCGGTGAATGCATAAACAGGTCACTACAAGTTCTACAATTCCTATTATAAAAGTCACTCGATCGGCAAGTGTTGCGTGAAAATTTTTTCAAGAGTCAAATTTCAGAAAATTTCAAAAGAGAGCAATTGAGCCAGCAGTTCAGGTCGATTTTCACAGCTCGTAATAAATGCGTGATGATGACCACTTTGTCATATTGTACAGATCAAGTCCATACTCGTTGGCTATACGATTGAGTCCCTATACGTGAATTTGATCCAGAAACCGACTCTCGACAGGGTAAAGCTATCTTCAAGCCGTAGACCGGCAGCACGCACATCTTCGGCGACGGCAACAGCAAAAACATGATGACTTTTGTCTCGAGCAAGACGAATCGCATACCGAGGTACATTCTCGGCCCCAGCCCGAAGCTCAGCGCCGTCGAATCTTTGGTGTAAGCTTTCTTCCCTACGAATTTCTCGGATAGGAATTTATCCTGCTCATCGTAGTATCTATGGTGTCGTGTAGTACAGACTCGGAAGCAGTACGACGATTCCTGCCTTTTCGGCTCTCGCCACGAACGGCTAGGCGCCCGCGACTTCGAGGCTGGCAGCTCAAAATCTTTGGTGCACTTCCGCTCGATCGAGAGATTCTAGTGCATTTGCAGAGTCTCGGTCACGACGGCGTCCAAATAAGGCAGGTTACTGACGACGTCGTAGCCGCATTCGTCCTCGTGCTCCGCTCGAGCTTCTTCGATTTCATCGACGAGCTTCCGCTGCACTTCCGGATTGGTCTCCAATAGGTGAGTCGTCATGCAAATCATTATCGAAGCGTTCTCGAAACCGCCGAGAGAGAACAAGACTTGAGCCGACAATTCCAGTACGTCTATGTTTTCTTTTTGAGCCTGATGATCCGCACCGGCAATTGAAGCACGCTCGTCCACACGGATCAGATCGTTCATCGACTCGGTGATGTGTCTCCGCGAGAGAAACAATTTGGACATTATTCCGAGGAAAGGTGCCTGTCAACGACTCGGTACGCTCCATCTTTTGTAATAATTGTTCATTTGCATGAATTTGTAGAAGAATCCTACGGCCGACAGCAGCAAAGTCCAATATCACTATGGTACACGATACTCGTTTGTTGCATAAAGTATGCGTGAGCGAGGAAAAAAATCGTCGCGACTAGTATTACGAGATATAATTATTCACGCGCGCCGCGTGACGAGATTCGCGAAAATGCCGAGCTGCTGCCCCTGTGCATACACTGCCGCGGTGCGTGTGTAGTGTACAATCGAGGCAAGTATATTATGCGATCGGTCGAGCAACTGCGCATTTACTGCTGGTGCAGCAGCAGCAGCAGTTAGGTAGAGGCAGTCGCGAATATATAGGCATAATCATAACAGATCGCTGCAGCGCGGCAGAGAAGAGGCGTGCGAGCTCGCCTCCGTGCGTAGCATGCGATATCTTGCTCGATGAGGTCACTGCATTATAAATATCAACGTGAAAATCAAAGATTGTTTTTTGTTGTAATTGAAAAGTTTCGGTAATTAACTATTTTATTCAAAATTTTTCGTACACAGTTGCGTTTATATCACAAATTTTTTCTTCGGATTGTTGTTGTTTTTTTTTTAAATGTTATTTATCTACGACGATACGTCGCAAAAATGAAAACTCACAACCTTATCGTAATCGAGATAATAATAATCATAATAATATATGACGATGATGAAAATAATAATAATCTATAGAAGGAAAAACTTAGATTTTGTAATTTAAAAATAGGTAAATTAGTCGGATGATAATTGATGAGTATCGTACAAATGATTGATTACACCGATTCTTTATAATATATTGCACAAATGAAAAACACGAGACGACTAGTTATTATCTAATCTAATCAAAGGCTATAGCACACGTGTACCCAGATGCAAAGTTTTATACACACAAATATGATTGTTAAAAATTGATTAAAAAAATACAACGATATAATTTTTGAATTGAAAAAAAAGCAACTGAAATCAGGCTGACTTTTCTCTCGGCTCGATTTTCAACCAGAAGCCGCCGTCAGCCGTGGGCATGAAAATTCGCTTGTCGTAGCGCGTCGGCACGCAGGTCTTGTCGCACGTCACGAGATTGCACTTGGCCAGCAGATGCACGAACACGATCTTGGTCTCGAGTATGGCGAAACGATTGCCGATGCACATCCTCGGGCCGAGGCCGAAGCCCAGCGTCACGACGTCGCTGGTGGTCGATCGCTTGTCGGCGAATCGCTCCGGCTCGAACCTGTCCGGCTCGTCGTAGTACTGCGGATCGTGCTGGATCGAGTGCACCGGCACGACGATCTCGATGCCGGGCTCGACGACGAACGGCTCGGCGCCCGGATAGGCCGGCGGCAGGACGAACTCCTTGGCGCAGACGCGGTTCAGCGTCGGCAGCGGATGGACTCGCAGAGTCTCGGAGAACACGGCGTCGAGGTAGTTGAGATTGTTGATGGCCTCGTAGGTCGGCTGGCCGTCGCAGTCCCGCATCATCTGGTCGATCTCCTCCTGGACGCGGCGTTGGATGTCCTGGTGGATGGCCATCTCGTGGGCCATCCAGCACATCTGCGTCGAGACGGTCTCGAAGCCCCCGAGGAAGAACAGGTACGCCTGGGCCGTGATGTCCAGCACGTCGAGGTCGTGCGTCTTGTCCTGCGCGTCCATCAGCAGCTGCAGCATGTCCGGCCTCGAGCGGCCCTTCTCCCTGCGCTCCTTCATGGTCTTGTCGATGAGATCGATGAAGTAGCAGGAGTTCTTCTTCGGGATGAGCTGCAGTCCCAGTCGGCGACCGAGCGCCGGCACGAAGAACATGATGAAGCTCTCGAGGGAGAATCGGCCGAACTTGGCCAGCGATTCGCGTCCGTTGACGTAGAACTCGTTGTCGGGGTCCTTGAGGCTGTCCACCTCGAAGCCGAAGGCGCAGCTCGCGATCACGTCGTTGGCGTATCGCGTGAAGGTGTCCTTCATGTCGATCGCCGGGCTGTCGGCGCGCGTCTGCAGGAGGGTCCTACTGAAGGTGTCGGCGCACTTGCTCATCAGCACGAACATGGCCCTCATCTTGTTGGTGGTGAAGGAGGGCGTGAGTATGCTGCGCACCTCCTTCCAGCGGGGCCCGTTGAGAGAGACGAGATTCTTGCCGAAGAGAGGATCCGTGTCCTCGTCGACGAAGACCTTGCGATCGGCGAAGTAGTCAAAGTCCTTGATGAGGACGCTCTTGATGAGGTCGAGGTCGCGTATCACCACCATCGGATTGAGGAAGAAGTGGCAGCCGACGTACTTGGCCTCGGGCTGGAAGCCGTAGATCTCGGCGAGCACGTCGACCATGTGCTTCTGGGCCATCGCGTTCTTGCCCATGACGCCGATGAAGGGCAGCTCGGGCGGATTGGGCACGCCCTTGCCGGCGAAGCGTCGTCGCGTTTCCAGGAACTTGAGGATCAGATAAGTCACCAGGGCCACGAGGAAGGCCAACGCCACCAGGTTGGCCATTTTCTTCTCTCTTTCTCTCGACGATCGTTGAGGCAACTCGTTTTAGCAGACGCAGCGCACGCAGCGCGTTCGAACGTTACCAGGTGCAGAAGCCGACTGGAGTTTCGCCGGAGCGAGAAAACGTTGTTGATAGCGCACACGCGAACTCGACGAAGCCGTTTATTTATAGCGCCGTTGTATCAAACGCGAGCTCGCGATGACGTAATTCGGAACAATTACCCGGCGAATGCGCGGCAGTAGCGGTGGAGGCCTCGCTGCTGCTGCTGCTGCAGTCGATCATAATTGATCGTCGTCGGCGTTGCGGTGACAACTAATCTCTTGTATGCACACTCGGCTCGTGTCGGTTGCTCTCCCATGAACGATAACAACGAGATATAAAGTCGAAAGAAAAAAAACAACAACGTAAACGCACTGAAATTTTGTGCAAAGTACAAGTATCGCACGTGCAGAGCTGCAGAGAGAGAGAGAGAGAGAGTTTCGTTGACGACGCGAGCCGACGACGAGCTCGCGTAACAGCAGTCGCGTAGAACGACAACAAGTGCACGTCGTCGACTACATAAACCGGGCGCTTAACTCGCTTCGTTACGCTAAGTGCACGGACTATTCCGTGTTGTCAATTTGCATATGCACACACACTGACGCACGGAGCTGCCCACCCACCACCGCCGCACATATTGTGTCCCCGTACTCCGCTACATACATATAGTCGCTACGTCAATTGTTATAGGCGTGCTCGCGCGAATGTCAGTGCACCGCACGATCGACGCGTGACGCATTCCTCCGGTTGCGTGCGTACCAATTCAGATGCACCACCGTCGTCGTCCTCTTCGTTCCAGCAGCAGCAACAGCAGCTGTCGCCACCGCCGTCGGCAAAGCTACAGGAGGATGCGAATCGTAGAATCGAAGCGATAAATGGGAGAAAGAAAAAAAGTATAACTGGTACGGCAGCGATCTGATGTGGGTTGCAGTCGGCGCGTACGACAATCGAAAGCATATATATATAATCTATAATCGTAACAGAAGCCTAAGAGCAACTCGATTTTCCACTGATCGAGCGGATGTGTGCGCGCAGATCCATATACCGCGCTTTAATTGCACGACGACGTCGACGACGACAAAGAGGCTGCAATGTGTGTTCAGAAAGTAACACTCCTGCCACTGCTGCTGCTGCTGCTGCCTCTATACAAGCTGCGATATTATTAAAGATGTCGCGAAAGCTGCTGCTGTGGGAGAGGAAAAAAATGTAATTAAGGCGGCTTTGTCGCGGACACCCATGTAACAGATTAAAACGCCATCGTATATACGCAGCGATCTGCCGAGCTGCTGCAGCTCGAGCTACTTTTTCCAAATAAAAGGCTTTCTCTTTGGCCGTTTCGCACTCGCTCGTATTATATACCTATACCTGCTCGACGACGAAGACATCTTTTCTTTCAAATTTATAAACGACCGTTACGATTCTTTTTTTTTCTCTCTCTCTCTTTTCTTTGTACTTTACCTCGCTTTAAAGCCATTGCAATAGCAATTTACGTATATATAGGATGATCGTGTACGGGGATTATTAGATTAGCAAACTTGCTGCAGTTCAGAGCAGCTATATAGCCCCTCTATACGGGCTAGTACGCGCGCGGGGGCACTTCGTTAAGAAAATGTAAAAATCATTAAGAATCGCGCGCTGATTAATTAAAGATTAACATCACGAAGTCGCTATATACATGCGTACGCACACAATGAGCTAGCCGAGCGAAAGAGAGAGAGACACTTTATAATTATGATAAAAGCACGTGTTAAAAGCAGCAAAAAAAGCATACGTGTGTGTACGTGTGTGCGTCAAGTGGGCGGGGTTACGAAAAGTTGCAAGCACAAAGGCACTTGCAGTATATGTACGACAGGGAGTTTGATATAACGATTTCGAAATTATACACCCTGTGTATAAAAGCTATTTTCATCGCACAACGTCAAACATTTTGCGCCGTATGGTGCACCTATATATTATACGCTTTTGCATCCAAAAGATGAGTATCGGTGAGCTTTGACACAATAGTCCGAAATTCAATTTCGATTTTCATCTTTTTTCTTCTTTAGGACTGCCTCGAAAATGCCGCTTTCGAGTGCTTAATAATCCTCCTCTAAACCTTTGGACAAAATGCGACGCGACGATGATTGAATTGATGCACGCTCATCTATTTTTCATTCGTACGATTGAGAAAAAAAATTAACTCATGTGAAAAGAGGTCATCCGTCAGAACTTCATTAATTTTCAATAAATGATATTGTTACCGGCAAAAACTGGAATTGCCAATGATTTTAGGTCATACCCAAATTGCTTTTTAAATCATAGGCCCATGCCCAACCCATTTTAGGAATCTTCAAAAAATCAAAAAATAATATGTATAATAATTTAATGTATGAAATACTATTCAAACTTTTTTTTTTTTTAATAAATAGTGATGTTAATAACAGGCTAATATAGTTCGGAATGAATGAAATGTNTTTTTTTTTTTTTTTTTTTTTTTTTTTTTTTTTTTTTTTTTTTTTTTTTTTCTCTCTCCTTACACCTTCTTAGAATATTTATAATGATACTTTTTATTTATACCTTATAATGGTTATTAAAAAAAATTACAAAAAATAGTGAAAGTACCTAATCAATTTTATGCAACTGGAGAGACGAATTCATTCGGGTTGTTCATTATAAGACGAATCAGATGTGCCGACTTCAAAATTTTGGTCTGTAAGAACGATTGACCAAAGTCTGTTCATGTATAAGAAAAATAATGTTCTAAATTAAAAAAAAAACTTCACCGATGACTTACATCTTTATTTCTCCAAAAATACATAAAATGACAATACAGCTGTTGCCAAGACATTTCGGGCATTGTCTAAAAAATGTTGTAAGTTCCTGTAATTTAGAAGACAATTATAGTATTTCCTAAGCATGTACGGGTTTTCTTCAATTCTAGAAACAAATTTGATCGCGAGTTTGTTTTTGACACTCGTAAAATTGTATTCTCCGAGTAAAGAAAAAAAGTAAATGGAAATTCGATCTAGCTTCGAGTTTGTTGAAAAAAATTCAACGCCATCGTAAGATTAACCCGATGATGAAGTAATTATTGGCCGATGTTAATTTTGCAGCTCGAATATCAACGGTCCGATTGAACGTGAGCCTTCTTTAACAATATGTTCCTATATCTAGTGATTAGAAAATAGCTCTTTCTGGCATATGTGTCAAATGGGAAATAATATTTTTGGAAACATAACAGTTTAGGCAGAGAAAAAAATCCAGGCAGGGCCTGCAGAGCAGTAATATACTTTTAGCATTACTTGGCTTATGGCTATGAATTCCTCGTAAAAGCTGAAGTCTCGAAAAAGTAACGAAAGCTCTAGCAAAGGCTAAAAGTTCAACTTTTGTCATCGAAAACGATGCCGTGGAGCTATCGTGCGTGGCAGAATGTACTTTTATCTGAAAATGAAGACGTATGTGTGCACGAAAAAAAATCCATTTTCCTCGTTTTACTTCTACCCATATATGTTATATGTAGTGCAGCAACTTGTGAACACACAAAAGTTCGACAGGTACACAATGTTTAATAGGGAATCGTTATTCGAAAGCTTGAAAAGGAAGTCACGTACATCGCACAAATGCGTGTGCCTGTGTGGGTGGGTGTATGCGTACAGGTAGGCCAAGAGCAGCAAAACCATGGGCATGTGCACGTAGATAGATATATATATATACGCATCTTTGCTTGCCTTTTAGCTTACGCCTGGAACAGCACTTACCTGCTCTGACGCTGAGCATACGGGGCAGTTTGTATTACGGCACATCGCGCGGTACCTATAGATATACGTGTACACCTGCGCCTATATACTTTGCTTGCCGAGCTACTACTCTCGCTAGCTGTATGCACGGGACACGGCGCGCATTATACCATACCGTCTACATCTATATATAATATGCATAATACATTATGAGCTTCTGTTGTTACTTTATTGAATTCAACGCCTCTTCCTCGGCCTCGCTTATACGTAAGGTGCGCAGTGTAGTGTACGTTGCGACGCGGATACACGAGTACAGTTCAAACATGTTTTGGACGAGTAAACTTTCGGGCACTACGCAAACTTTGTAAAGTATATACTTGGGCGACCGTAATTTTTGAGTTCTCGAGCCTCGCTCGCCCTCGGAGACGCGAAATAACAGACTCCCACAATTTGGATGACGTGGATCAAAACCTTTTATTCTCCTTTTTTTCATTAAAAAGCTTTGAAATTGAGCAAAAATGAAAATAATGATGGGAATTAATTGCTCGTAACGGAGCTTGCAACTTATCGATCTTTAAAATTTGCTCGAATCAATGCTCCGCGAAGTTGCCAACAAGTACACCTAAACTCGTCGCAAGTCTCGTGGGTCGATAAGTTCATCAATTAGTCAGTTTTCAAAGTTCGTAATTTCTACGTAATTCTAATTATATATCCATATTGAGCCCAAAGGCTATAAGACGATCACCAACTCGACTTACTCTGTGTACTTGCTCGCCTCTCTAATTTACATTGTTCGGGGGCGTTGATTCGAATCAACGCTCTCAAACTCCAGAGCTTGCACATATATCATGGACGAAAGGATGACGTCTTCATCTTGCCAAGATTAATCTATGAACTTGTTTCAACACGCATATAATAAATGATGGTATTTTTCTTTCTTTTACTTTTCTAAAAAGTTTACGTGATGTACCTTGGCGCGCGTCTGCACTTGCTCTTACAGTATACGTACGAGTATGCAACATTTGTGATGAATTTCTTTTTTTTTCGCTTCAAGTATAACATTACATACATACATATTCTTTCTCTTTTTCTTTTCTCTCTCTCTCTTTACCAGATGTGACGGAAGAAAAAGTGTCATTAACGTGTGCATCTGTGCGGAATCCGTATATAGTTGTGTTTTGTTGTGCACTGCGTTGAGAGCTGCAGCAGTCACGCACCGAGAAATGTACTGCTCATATACATACATACGTATTACACTCGTACAGATATTTCTACAAACGCTGCGAAGATCTTCCGCGTTTATATGAACACGCGCCGAGGAATAGGCTTGCAGACATCGACTTTCGCTTCTATTTCTTTGTGTAGCTGGCGAGATCGAAAAAAAATATATTTTTTCTCTTCCATCGTATTTATATTGCGCGCGGATAAAAAAGCTGCCAGAGACGCAAGAAATTGTCACAGATTTTAAAGAAATTAAGAAGGACAAGAAAAAAATATCGACAATAGAGTATCGTATGTATAGAGTTCATCAGTGCGAGCTAACATTTTCGAATTGAAAATCAACATCCCGTTGTTTATCGATGCAGCTATTATGATAAACATGAGCATTCGAGGTCTGAAAAAAACGCATGTGTATTATATTATATAGAGAGTAAAAGAGCCTAGAGTCGTTCGCGTCTAATAATTGTAGAAATTGATGACGGAGGCGAGTTTGATTTGCCGCTTTCTCGCCAGCCGATCCCTTTTTGTTCGTGCACGTATTACACTCATACAGCGTGTGCATTAGACGCGCAGCAAAAAAGCCAAAACTCTTCGTACTTTTTGCTTTCAATCGTAGCTAATACTTTCCAACCGCGGATAGTTCGAGAGGCTCTCGAGAGAGAATCGTGCAAGCGCACGCGTCAGCTGATTCTCGTTAATTTTCTGCGATTTGTATTAATTAGATTAAATAATAAACCACGCGCGCGTACGCACGCGAAATTGTAAATAAAAAAAGAGAGAGAAAAACGATGAAATAAATGAAAAATATCATAAAATAAATTCATGCGCATTATACGACGAGTGCCTACCTTTTTTTACGACTTGGGACGTTAAAAACAGCACCGACATGTGGATATGCAATTTTCTTACGAGCTCGAGAAATTTTCATCTCGAGCTATCCGCGAGCGTATGGAGCTATATTCGCTGTACATACGTCGCTCGAGGTATAGAGTAATCATATCAATCTTGTTTGGAGAAAAAAAAATATGTATACATCAACCGTTGGCGCTTATATTACAACTCGCATGTAGATAAGCTTCTATCAATGACTCTCTCGCTGGTTTAACAAAATTTATAAATCGCGAAAATTCAACTTTACTGACGTCTACCGAGCGCACATTCGTACACGTTATACATGGACATGTACGGTATATTCGCGAGCTGGAAAATAGTAAAAATTTCATTACTTCAAACTTCAGCGAATTTAAACTTTACTTTTTTCGATAGAGAAGCACGTATACTTTATGATGACGTTTGAGTTTTGTTGACGTTCAGCAGCAGACGCGAAAAATTTACGATTACTCGTAAAAAGTGTCGACAATGTCTCTCTCTCGCGCTCTCTCCTTCCCCCTGTGCGAAGTGAGATTTTACCTCGGATCAAATAAAGCCGAGTCAAGGTCACGCAAACAGTGTTCGCGGGAAAATAATTGTGGCTTAGATAGAGTTGAATTGCATAATAAGGTTGTACAAAAAATATTATTGATTCATTTTTTTTTATTAGAAAATGAAAACAAAACAATTTAAAATAGTTTTATAAAATAATATGTTTACTTCTGTAGTAATGTCTTTACTATAATTTACTAATATTACGTACACTTTGTCACAAACAAGTAGAAATAACTAAAAAGTTTCTTAACCATTTCTTGAACATTGATCAATAACATTTTCTAACAATAATTTTATCAAAAATTAAACTATTTACTATTTAATCTAAAGACATGATGTCACACTGGTTCAATAAAATTATTTATGGTACGCCATTGAAACTTAGAAATATAATAACATGATGTCACAATTGAATGATCAAACCGAATAAAAAATTAATTTATGATTCTAAAACTAAAAGTTGTAATCCATTTTCATAATTCAAAAGATTAAATTAATTGATGTCTAACTTTTTAATGATTTCATCAGAATGCGAAGCAAGTAGTTTGATAGCAGCTTTCTTCAATTCGCTTGCTTTGTACATATTAGCTGCAGCAACCATATCAAGGACATTATCGACATTCAAAGTTTTTAATAACTTTTGTTCGCTTATTGATTTTAATCCATCAATACCTAAAATTTCTCCTGCAGCCATCAAGTCTTTTGCCATTGAACCATCGTGCTCAACTCTTCCTGTGTAGATGAACCTGATGACTTCTTTAAAAACTCTTGGTTTAATATCAGTAACTTCAATTATGTTGGGTTCGTCTTCTTGTGTATCGTCTTTCAATAAACTTGCAAAGTAAGTACTTCTTGCCATGAGAATGCAACGATGACCAAAGAATACTTCTCCGCTGCATTCAAAAACAGTATTACAATAGTGTTCATCGTCTATGAGTTTTTCAAATTTGTCAAACTCTTTCAATCGATTGATCATGTCACTTATACTGTCTGAAGTTTTATCATCTGCACTATCTCTTAATAATGCTGCATAGCTGTTTTCGAGTTGGGTCTTGATTTTTTGTTTTTTCTTTGTTTCAAGCTTATCATCTTGCGTCATCTCACAGATGATGACCAGTTCACCCTTTTTAGTGAGAACCTCATTTTTCTTATCCAAAATGAAGCCAATATCCGAAACACTACTGAACAATTGAGAGGTGGCTGTATCGTCGTAAGTCTTCCTCAATAACCTCGACACTTTGACCGGCTCGTTTCTTCTGTTCAGAATACTGATTTTTGCCGCAATGTGTATCGGTGTCTCTGTTAAATGTATAAGGGTGAGGCTTAAAACACGTGTACCTTCGACGGACTCTTCGTTCAGTCGTAATCTCCATTCGACGAATTCCGTTGATACACCCATGGAGAAGGCCGGCGACAGTATCTGGTCGCGATCGCGGGTCGCAAACTCGCTTATTGTCCAGTTGAAGGTGCAGTTGGCCAAGCAAACGTTGCCCGATGAATTTTCCGCGCACAGGTAGGGTCTGTCCTCGTCCATGATGCAACGATAAGTTTATTAAATATTATATCAAAAAACAAAAGTCGCACGACGATCGACACAAGGGACAAGCACTTATGTAAAATGTCGTTAGAGTACACACGAAAGTGGAATGGCGGAAGTGTAACTCGACCAAGGCTCTGTGTAGAACTGTGTAGCGTCGCGCTCAATCAATGCAACGTGTGCGTCAGCGTACGTGCGAAACAAAGACAAAGGAGATTTAAGCGCGCGGTCAAGTGGCGGCGGCGACAGCAGCCAAGCCGAATCGAGTCGTCGGCGCGCCGCCAATCGCAATTTCCCCTACAGTGGTCGTAGTCGCTACTTGTTGCTGCCGCGAGGTTGGCAATGACGAGTCGTTTCTCTAAGGCGTTCGATATTTTTGAATAGAGCCATTTGCTTTGACTCGAGTTTCACCTTGTGTTGATTTTTATGTGAATATATGTGATACATGACACTATATTATAACACACGCTAGTAAGCCATTTTTATATTTACAAGCAGATTTGAGTATTCGACCATATACTAGGGAAGCAAAAATTGAAACTTCTTCAGAACTTGTCTGTTCATGCTTGGAACGCATGTGTGATACAAGCGTTCTGCGACTGTTAAAATTAACACTTTAAGTGTTAAAATATGCTATGTTACCACATGTTGTATTATAATTGAAACGTAATAGCATATAATATATTAGAAGACAATATGCTTCAATGAAATATTTTATTGTTGGTGTCAAAATTTGAAATGTTCAATACAAACGAACTCGATAGCCCGAATGACTCGGTATATCAGGTTAAAGAATTTTTCAGTGAAAGTATTGATTCTAACAAAGACATCAACTCACTGAATGAATTATTTAATACGAAAATATAACGAACACTAATCGATTTAACTATATCTTTTGTGCCGAAAAGACTTGCACGATAAGATTATTATCAATCGTTCATTGTCAATAAACAGTGCGAAAACTCGAGGCTCGTGCGTGAACTTTGCTGCTGTCGGCCGGGGCACACACACGCACACATGAATACATCGCGTTGTGCATTGTTGCGGCATTGGAAAAATATGGAAATAATTTTGTATTTTTTTTCTTTTTAATCCGCAGATCTCTTTATCCGGTGAGCGAGAAGCACAATGTAAACGAATCATCGACAAAGGCTTTTCTCCCGCCAAAGGTACCCTATAAGTATATAAATATGCGCATCGTCCTGACGACAAAACATCAATCGTCGACGGCAACTCGACCGAGGGACACCTACTAAAACCGAGAATAAAAAAAGGGGAGAGAACGAAGATGAAGACTTTTACGCTGCTACTGGTGCTGAGCTGCTTCGTGGCCATAGCCCATTGCAATCACGGCAAGAAGGGGCAGGGCGAGGACGGCAGCGACGGTCTACCTGGTCTCGTCGGCAAAGTCCTCAACAAAGTCCTGACCGTCGGCAAGCCCCAGAAGAAGTCCAAGGGCGGCCTGTCGGCGAGCTCGTCGGCCTCGTCCTCGGCCCAGGTGAGCCAGCAGTCTCAGGGCGACAGCGACCCCAAGAGCGTCGTCCAGCTGGTCCAGCAGGCGTCCAAGAGCGGTCTCGGCCAGGTCGGTGGAATCATCTCCAAGCTCGACTCTAAGAAATTGTTGCACAAACAGCAGGGCCATCCCAGCCAGAGCAGCCAGAGCATAAGTACGAGCATCAGCCAGGTCAGCTCCGGCGGTAGCAGCAGTCACAGCAGCGGCGGCGGCGGCGGCAGCGGTAGCGGAGGCGACGGTGGCAACGGCGGTAACGGGGGCAACGGCGGACGCGGTGGACGTGGTGCAGGTGGTGGTTCCGGCGGTGATGGTGGCAACGGAGGCAATGGCGGAAACGGTGGCAACGGTCATTGAACCTTCTTCTAACTCATGTCTTCAACCAACTTTTGTCGAGCACAATGTGCGAAATAAAATCATTATACTGTGAGAAATAAACGATACATATTTTCGATCAAATATCGTTCCTACAATTTTTATATAATATATAATGCATGCATGCACCTGTCTTTGCTAATTGACGAAAAAATTATTTGATCAACGTCTGCGCGATCGTAAATCTAGATTACGGTCAATTTCCCAAATGTTTTTCGCAAATTTCGAGTCGTGCATCGCACTTACGAACGATAAGACGAGATAATATTGATAATTGCGTATAGCGTAATAACACCTTTTTGTCGGCTCAGCGACGATGAGCTCGCATTATCGTATTATTATGCTTACGATGTATATAATATAACGTAATGCGTATTACCGTTGCACTCGCGATAATAAACGCACCTGGGAGGAGCACCGGCACGCACATATATTTTATTTTATTTTTTTGATTATTTTTTATACCAAAGTAAACAAAATTTTTAGTGCGATCGCGTCGAGCGGGCGCTATTTCGTGAAATTATCGCCGTGAATCTTTGAAAGAAAAAAGGGGTAAAAGGGTATGTAGGCATAACGAGTCGGTCGAGTTTTTCGGGTATAATGATGTAATTTTGAATACAAGATTCCCTAATTGGATAGTCATTACTGCCCCTCTCCGGTCAAATCAATCGCGTACAACGCACTCTCGTCAAAAGCATCGTATATAGTAATAATAAAAGCAGAAAATTGTTCTCGAGTTGGAAAAATAATTAAAAAGTAAAAAATAAAGAAAAGAATCTCTCGCAGCTGGCGATATATTAGTCAAGAGCGTATTATAGAGTCGCACAGTAGCCGCATCGAAAGTCGAGCGTGGCAACGCGTCTCGAGCTCGCTTGCTGCTAACGATCTGCAGCAACAGCAGAATTTCGCCTACTTTTCTCAGCACGACACGGCCTGCAGCTAGGCTGGGTTACTTGGCTCTTGTGTATTATGGGTGAAAGCATAAACGGCCCTCGCGGGTATATCAATCGTCTACAGTGCACACAGCCACCAAAGTGTGAGAATAAAGTCTTGCAAATTAGTCAGAGCTGGAGTAGTCGATAGCTACATACAATTAGCCTATCGATAATTTCGAGGGCATGACTCGATTAAAGCTACTATAATCTGCGTCGCCGCACGATCGAAATGTCGTATATGGTTGATTCTCCCGAAATCTGCTTTTTCGGGTATGGAAAACGAAAAAATGGTGAAAATTTTTTTGTCATATTGAACGGCGCGAACTAGTTTACCCTTTTTTAAATCATAAAATATGAATAATTATTGAATCTGGGGCTTTGAGATTTCGTTTTACGAAAACTATGTCCGATTTTATGCTTAAAATCGACTATTTTCGGTTACGGAGGTGACACACACGGAGGTGACAAATCGCTGCTTTGATCAACTATGTAAGAAAAATAAGAAACGCACAAAATTTTCCGCACAACCCGAAATTTGGTCATGAAAAACGAGTCTTTTGACGGGGCGAGCGGTTAAAAAGAATGATCATAGCTCGAGATATTCATGTCCACGGAGGTGACCGTTTTTTTGACACACGTGAATTTTTCAATAGAATAATTATCGCAGCATCGATAAAATGTAAAATTTGAACCCGCAACCTACACCAATCGAAAGCTGGGCTATAATACTTGACATTTACGTATCTAGCGACATCAAAAATGAGTTAGCGACCCAAAGCAGGCGGTATGTTTGAAATTATTCAGAAGCATGATTAAAATCCGAGACATTTTTCAATTGCGTGGGAAATTTTTTTAAAACATTTTTCAAAGCCCTATAATAGACTTAAACTTTACTCTGGATGTATAGAAGCTGGTCTCATAGTTATTATAGGGTCAGGTGCTAATGAGAATGCATGGTACATGCAAATAGAGTTGATTTTGAGATGTAGACATGCCACGGAGGTGACATTTGGCATGTATATCTTCACGGCAAATTTAACTGGCTCTAAAAAATTGAAATATTTATGTCCTATCATGAAGAATACAACAATATTGAATGAACGACCGAGCCAGTTTTGGCTCATCTTCACTAGTTTAAGAATATGGCATAAAGACATGCAAAAAGCAGATTTCAGGAGAATCAACCATATAAGCTAAACGTATTATACATAGATCGTGGCTTAACGCATACAAGTCTCATTAACTAAAAGTTAATTTGGTCGGCGTACGCAACATAAATACCGGCATAATTGACAGGTGCAAGCTGCTATATACGTGCGCTGTATACAAGGAAAGGGGGAGGATGAGATTCGATGTATTCAGAGTGGAAAGAGGCTCGCTCGGCTTGGTTGCGGCGCAGCTATACAGACACATACCTAAACGAGCAGTCGAAAGAAACCGAGATTTTTCCTCTTCTCCGCGCGTGTATATAACGACGAGCGAGAAGCGAAAATAGGTTTTTAGCGCGTGTCACACAATTGCACGACGATAGTGCATGGTGGCACATACGCACCGCAGCTGCAGCTCACTCGGACGACGACGACGACGACGACGAGACGACGACGATCGCGCACACCGCGACTCGTGTAATTTTTGAGCTCGCAATTATTCCGAAAAAAACGAAAGCTAGACGCACGTATGAAAATTACTCATGCATAGCTTTTGGCTCACGTGGAGAGCTGTCAAACAGCTCGGGAGGAGGGAAAAAATAAACAATTCAATTGCGCAAATAGTCTGCGTGGCTCGTGTGCTTTATGTACTTGGACTCGAAGCGTGACCAGGAGCAATTTTTCTCTTCTTTGCTCCTCGTACGCTGCCGCCTCCAAAATCGTCGACATTTCTCAAACATTTTTTTGTATACCTGTAGCTGCGCGCGCATTACGCATTCAAAGCGAGCATATTGCCTGGCCGTACGCGTCGTTGAATTCACAGCGGCAAGTTGCTGCACGTATACGCGCGTGTGCGGTAATTTATGTAATATAGCAGCTCCGCGAGAACAATGTGTGCATGTGCGTATGTGCATGTATGTATTTAACAGCGCCAGAAGAGTAGAATTAGCCGGTAATTAATGTTGTTCCTCCTGGCTCTCTCTCTCTCTCTCCCTTCCTCTTTTCCTCTTTCACGTCACCGGGCGTATGTAGACAGCATCGCCGCGCTGCACGAGGCTCAACCGCTCAACATCATCATCATCGTTCGCTAGCCGCGCGATACATTATTCATGTTAATAATTAATAACGCCTTAATTCGACATGCAATGCTTCGCAGCTACTGTACATAGCTTTTATCCTAATGTTCAGGCCCACGATGCTCTCTCGAATATTACGGGCGATGATAATCGCGCGGCTCTGGAGTATAATTATGTATTTTCCGTAGTTCGGTGGGTGGAACTCGAGCGATCAGAGAGATCTGTCATTTTTGAAATCTTCGTATTATTAAGCGATCGTCGCGATTTTCATGCCTCATTATGGGTGTTTGCTACTCAAATGAATTCGGTACGATCGTCGGCACGTATGCAATTGCATACGGGATTAGTCACTGCACACACAACACTGCCTCGCTCTCTCTCTCTCTCTCTCTCTCTCTCTCTCGTACACACAGTGACACTCGCTGGGCGAGAATTGAAATCCTTGCCGCGCGTAGTACGCCCGAAAATTTTTTTGGAGGGTCGTCGACCGGCCGACTCGACGAGCTGCAGTTAATGCCATTCCGCGCGTACTCTTTACGATGGCGGAAATGCCGGGCCCGAACACGCTCAAGTGCCTGCGAGAGAGCATGTGCGAGCAACATCGAAAAATCTTTCGTATTAAAAAATAAAAGAGGTAATACGTCCTTTACTGGTGGTACGAACTCGACGAAATTCGCGCTAAAGGGAACCGCTGAGATGCGGAGAGAGAGAGATCGTCGTAGACGATTATTTGTAATCTCAGGACCCGAGTGAGTCAGAAAAATTCAAACTCGCACGACGTATCCTGCGTGAATGTATTTGCATGACGCATCGAATCTCGATCGACTCAATGGGCCGAGAAATTAAAAAGTCGAGGCGGATGAGGACTGCTTCGTATGATAATTGACTCATACGAGGATCTCGGCATGGAAATCACTCGTGTATCATACACTTTGCGTTTCAACGTCGAATAACCTCGTTATACTCCGAGGAGCTACGCAATGCGATAATAGAGCAGAGTTTTGTAGACGTGCGATGGGTAAAAACATAATCAGGCAAGTAGCGTTCGTAGGCAAGCGAGGATTGTAATCGAAATGCGGGTGCAACGCGTAATAAAATTTATCTCCTAGGCACTATACGACGATGACGATTCTGCAGCTCGAGCCTGTGCACATCGGAGGACTGACGTATGCCTCAACTATATAACGTAACGACGCGCGACCCACTTTGTCGGGCGCGTTTTATTCGCGCGTACCTACGTAGTCGAGAAGAAACCACGTGGACAATTTTCTGGTCAAAAGTACAAAGAGACGCGCGCGACCGGTGACAATTTTCGCGCTGATTATAGCCGAGAGAAAAAAAGAAGGATCGAGTACGGACTTGATTCACTTGTGGGTCTCGTACGTACATAATACACACATCGTCCTTACGTATACGTGTAATCGGTCGAGCGTTGAGTGGCGAACCGAAGCGAAGAGCAGAAAAAAAGGAGAAGAAGAAGAAGACGAAGACGGGGCAGCGGTAGCGGCGAGCGCGCATATACGCTATCAATGTCCTGCCGCGAGCGTCGAGCTGCAGCAGCGGATCGCTCATTGAAAGCGCAACGAGTCGATCCCCCACTGCGCCCATATCTGTATACCTGCAGCGTTGAGGCGCGCACACACGAGCGCACGAGTTCTCTGCAGTGCGAAAAGGTGACACGCACACTTGCACAATATATATAGATACGCCGAGACTGCAGGAGCTGCTGTTGAGGCAGAGTCAGAGGCCCGTGACGTATATATGCGATACGAACCGCGGCTACCGCATCAGTAGTTGCGAATAAAGTCTCGTGCGCGTATTAC